ATACGTTTCTAACTAACCACCTACCCCTCCCCTAAGCCAACATTTTGCCCTAAGTGAGAAGGAAGTGTTAATGTTGGCTTAGGGGAGGAGTAGGTGGGTAGTTTCCCAAAAACGTGTAATGATCCGTCTTCCTTATAGAGACTCACAGAAAATGGCTGAAGAGATGCAGGGTTTAACTCGTGTGTCCTGTTAGGAAGGTATTTGTATTATATAGCTGTCTGGCTGTATAAATGAAAAAAAATATATATATTCTTCGGTCCGGGCGACTCTTTCTCAACGGACGTCTCTATAGCACGACGACCCTATCACCCTATGTAAGGGAATCCAAGACATCCTGGGATTCTGGATTCCACGCTGTGGATTCCGGATTCCAGGTTCTGGATTCCAGTCTTTGTCAGTGGAACTTGGATTCTGGATTCCAATTGTTAGTGGGATTCCAGATTCCCTGGGCTGTATTCCGGATTCCAAAGCACAGGATTCAGGATTCCTTTAGCTGTATTCCTTATTCCAAAGCCCAGAAATCCGGATTCCACAAGCAAAAATTTCGCACATTCCCTTATATGGGGCGAACCCTAACCCTGCTGCTTTTCATTATCTTTGACAAAGTCTGCAAGGCTGATACCTCGCCATCGTAGGCCATAGGTGCCGGAATCCACTTTGATATCTCAGTGGCGGATCCAGGGGATGGGCCCGGGGGCCCGCCTCCCTCCTTTATTTTTAGACTAAAGTGAGACCCGAAGGGCCGAAAACTTTTTTTTGAGAACTCCCCACCCCATCTCAAGGTCTGGATCTGGCACTGTTTCTCACTTGCTGAAATTGCCTAAAACTCCGTGACATTGTCCACCTAATGCGCTGTTGCTTTTGTAAACAGGTAACCGAGCAGTTGAAAGCCCGATTCATGCCTAGTCCTCAAGTGATTAAAAAGAGAATCGAAGGTTTGATCGAGAGAGAATACTTAGCCAGGACACCAGAAGACAGGTAAAGCAATCCAGTGTAGAATACGGAGATGAAATATTGTATTGTTTACGGTCCCTTTTTCTGTAAGATCGTCGAGATCGAACGTTTGTTGTAACGGGAGGTCACCTTGAAGGAGGCAGGCGTCGGGGCTTAAAGCGGTGGGGAGGGATGCGAGAAAGTTAATTCGTCCCCTCCCTGCTACGACACCAGAAGGAGAATCATGAGGTTATCCCTATGAAAATTATTAAGATCTCTCCCACAGATAACCCACCCAGCCCAAGAAAGGTTGGCCACACCACCGGGGTCTTCGTCCCCTACTTTTTTCGAACAGTAGTTTGGGTTCACAAGAACCAGGTGAGTGAAAGTGCTGTGAGACGGGAACTGCGGTTTTTCGTCCTTATCCGAGAAGGCTAGAAAGTCTAACCGTTTGCAGATGTCAATACAAAGTCAGCACTTTCTTCTCAGTTATTTAAAGACACTGAGTGTTGGTCCGGCCGGAGTTTGAACCCGCGACCTCCAGCTCAGCAGACCAGCGCTCTCCCAACTGAGCTAACCAGGTGGGGTTTACACGCTACCTTTCTCTCTCTCCCTATAATCCTTTCTTTTACTTAAACACCTTTTCTAACTTCTCGTTTCTCTTGCAGGAAAGTTTATGTCTACGTTGCTTAAGAAAGATTTTCCATCACGTCCCATCCATCCTGACAGTTGGAAAGCGATACAACGGCCCATGAAGGCATTATTGTGCGGACCAATCACTGCCCTCTTTTGCCTCGACGCATTATTTTGTTTCTTTTTCTTCAACTCGTCATTTTCTTATTTTAATGGATTTTTGTCTCTGGCAGTGCTTCTTGTTACTGTTGTGAGAAGAGTCAAAGATATTTTTAGGTTCGTCGACAGAGTGCAGCCAGTTAAAGTGAAATCAGTCTGCAAAGCGGGAGAAANGAAAGTTTATGTCTACGTTGCTTAAGAAAGATTTTCCATCACGTCCCATCCATCCTGACAGTTGGAAAGCGATACAACGGCCCATGAAGGCATTATTGTGCGGACCAATCACTGCCCTCTTTTGCCTCGACGCATTATTTTGTTTCTTTTTCTTCAACTCGTCATTTTCTTATTTTAATGGATTTTTGTCTCTGGCAGTGCTTCTTGTTACTGTTGTGAGAAGAGTCAAAGATATTTTTAGGTTCGTCGACAGAGTGCAGCCAGTTAAAGTGAAATCAGTCTGCAAAGCGGGAGAAAGGGAAGGATACCTCAGCCTTCCCTCACTGCGCTGTTTTATCAACATGTTCACTGCATTGTCCCTTGTTTGTGAAAATTGCGCGGAAGCTCACTATGATGACTTAAAGACCAGCGGGGAGAAACATGGCATAAACCAGAGAGAACTGATTCTATCCTTTGGAAACCATTATGGGCAGGACAATGCCAACGAATTGTACAACATGATATTCATTCGTTTTATCTGGCGTTGTGTTGGGTTTCCAAGGCTGTGCCTTGCTGTAATACCGTGATGTTTCTATCGTGTATTCCTTTGTAAGACGCTTTTGGCTTATCTGTCGTCGTACTGTATCTCCTTATTTTTTTCCACCAAACATGGATTGTCAAGTTGGCATGGAGAGGGTTTTTTTACCACTGGACTTTGAAAGAAGCGAGGAAGAGTTCATTTTGAACAGAGTGGGCATGCTCCATACTCGAAGCATTACCGTGCTTCGAAGGCTGTTTTCTTATGTTACGCCTGTTTACAAATACGAATTCTCCACTCATCTTTTGGAAGAATTTACCGAATGTGAGAGTCGCTTTGAAGATCACATAGAGTGGGTCTCTATAGAACAGAATGTATTGAATAATTAAGCAGCCTTGTGTTGGCTGCGTCCTAATAGAGAGGAGAAGTGTGACGTCACGTTACCATGGTAGCACTATTTCTGGATGACAACGACAACGACGACGGCAAGGAAAACGACAAAAAAATGATATGTTTATATTAACAAACAACAACTTTGCACGTGCATCACGCTATTTTGTACATTTCTTTGCTGTCGTTGCACTACTACGACGTGAAACTTACTAATTTCACGAGCCCGCTTTATGGAGTAGGTGAACACAACACAAAAATTGTCCCTTTCATTTTCTAAACTTAGTTAACGTTAGATATTGTCCCAAAGAAAATTTCGCCAAGATTTGCCAAATTAAATGATATTGAATAAGATCGGTGAAGTTTGAAATAGTGCGAATAGACTTTGATGTGACTTTTTCGGTTTGTTGTCATCCAAAAATTTTGCTACCATGGCAACTGATGTAACCACTTCTTCTCTCTATACAGACTCCAATTTTGCTTTCCTGTAATTTTGTAAAGAGTTCGGTGCTGTACGTTTTTGTTCAGTACCGGTGTAGATGAATGTATTTTGTAATCACCGCAGGTTGAGATTGCGGTGTTTTAGTCGTTTAAGATTCTTAGGTAAATTTATTCGGTTCAATCTTTATGAATAAAAAGAGAATGATCAACAAAGTCTTACTTCCTTACTCGTGCCGACGTTGCGGTTGCTTCTTCTTGTAGCGATCATAAAAGAATAAAAAGTGACTTCAGTGCAGGCGAGCAAAAGCGAGCTCGCAGATGTATTCTTGGAGAGGGTAGTCAGCGGCACATTGTACACTATCGCGGGGGTTTTATACTGTTTCATTGTAATCTAAGCAATATACCATAAAATTCCGAAAATAAGCCCCGGAGCTTATATTTTTAAAGGCCCTTTATGGGGGGGCTTATTTTTGGAGTGGCTTATTTTCGGAGCGGCTTATGTACGGAGGGAAATTTGCGTTTAAAAATCGATTGGGCTAGCCTTATTCTACCGTTTTTCTTTGTTGTACCTTGTATTTGAGGGCAATCTCCAAGTACAAGCCCCCTGGGGGCCTATGTTTGGAGGGGCGATTTAACGGAAGGTTTTTTTGCGCTGGGAGTGTGGGGAGCTTACATTTGGAGGGGCTTATTTTCGGAATTTTACGATTTTTAGTTTGTATGTTTTGTTTTTCCAATAGAGGTCCCAGGGGAAATTGACCGTTTGTCTTTTCATAAATTATGCGTTCATATGCACGTGAATAAGACGAAATTTGAAAGAAACAGTTCTCAAGTGTATTATCACATGACCTGTACTGGGAAAACAAAGCATACAAGCTAAAGAGGTCTATTGTTCGCATCTACCATTTAGTTTGATCAATCCCATCTCTATTGAAAAAGGCAAACGCACAGTCACCCGCACTTTCTATCCATTGGTTACTGTTGGTTTTTGTTTCTTAAACCCTTTATTCCGTCGTAAGCTAACATTGCACGGCCAGTCCTAACACTTCATGCGGTGCGGTGGTAGGGAGCATTAGATTTGAGGACGAGGAGGAGTACGATTTAAAATTTTTTGCGTGTGCTAAAAAAAGCTTCATTTTACTTTTTTTCACCGAAAAGGTTAGTACGGTTACTAAAGGAGGTTTTAAAAGCCCTCTCCCGATAGCAAAATGATAAAACTTTATGATACATTTGATAACTTGATCCTGTCACTACGACATTGTCGCTAAGACCCGTTGTAGAATGATGACGGCTATCACGTTTTTCCACAAAATGACGCTGGTTCACGCGCGTGCGCAACTTAGAATTAAGAAAATCTCGGACTCGTAGTCGTCCTCTTCCTCAAATCTAAAGGTCTCTATCAACATTCGGTACAGGAACAGTTCATATTGTAATAGACAAAAGAAAGAACAAAAACATTCGTGTAAGACTGTAGCACTCTACTGTTTCCTGTATATGCACTAATTAATGTGAGTGTTTACTTATCTGTTATATTGCTAGCAGCCGCTTATGACGCATTTGGAATTTTTCCCCAAACCACTTTTTTTCAATTTCGGAGGGTACCCGCTTACGTATCCGCTAACGGAGCTTCAACTGTAGAGCAAAATATTTAAGCCAGTCATGAGGTATTCCTTGGTATAAAAGCCGAGCTAACCTGTTTTTATTTTGCTTGCCACTTCCGCTGTAATAAAACGTCAAGAAAATATTGTGATCGACTAAAACTGGAACGTTTTGTTTTGTTGTTTCCCTTGCACCAGAAAAGTGAGCCTTTTTCGCCGAGCAGCTCTTCAATTGTAGCTGTGATGCTTTCTTCTTCACCAGGAGTAAGGCTTTTTTCTTCAGTGCAAAGGATTACAACGATCTTCTTCTCTGTTGACAAAAAGACAAATTGGAAATTGGTTTACTATATTTACCCTCGAAATTTTTTTTTTGGCACAGCAAATAACTAAAACCAAAAATTTAAATCAAACATAACGGTGTTAAGATCCTAATTAGCAGGCGGCAAACCTTTTGGCTTTTTACAAGTGTCGCCAAAGAGTTGGTGGTACAAAGAAACGACTTACCCAGGAGTCAAAGTGAGACTAGATTCTGCAACTGCCGGACCGAAAGTCCAGCACTCTGACAACGCGGCACGTTGCGTTCAGAACTGACTGAAACAGCAAACTTTTCTTGTTGATGTCATGGAAGCTTTTATTTATTCATTTTTTTAAATAAAAAAATAAATGAACATCACAACATGCCTCGCAACGCCTCAGTTTAAGTTTAGTTTCATAGTTTTTGTCAGGAGATAAAACTTAAAATTTGTAAATGCAAAATAAGTAACATGGTTTTAAACCAAATTGGTTACAAATTCGCACAAAGGAAGCGAGGAGCGAATCTCTTGGTATAACAACGAAGTGTGCAGGGAAAAGAGAGAGGAAATGTTCTCACCTACAATCCTATTGGCAGTTTTCAGGAGCTCTAGGTAAACTGTACTGCGGGAGTTCGTCAGCAATTCCTCTTTTATTTTCGCAGATTCAGCAACAATAAAACAGGATCTCACTAGCGTGCTTCGCTCGAGGAGTAAATCCTTCATAGAACGCGGATCTCTCGATGTGACAGGATTAATACCCAGTAAGACATCACCAAACACTTCCTTTATGGTATTAATGTCAGACTCGTCCTGGATAAGGATCGCTATGCTTTCCCGTGGGGGACTTGTATCCATTCCTTTGGCACGTGCACGTTTACAAAAGTAACAAAAGGTAGTAAAAAAGTAAGAGGGCATGTATACATTTTATTTTTGGGCCGGGATGGGTCTCAAATTGGTGAAAGGAAGTTTTGTTATTTAGCCTCAAGGGTCCATACTTGGGCCGATGATCTTCAACATTGCAATACTGCCGGTATCGAATACCTTGTAAGACTGCGCGTCCAGACTTTTTAAATGATTTTTTGTAAAGAATGGTTCCATATACAGGAATAACTCACAATCCCTTTTGAAGAAATATCTCTACATGCGCTAAAAACTTGCCTTCATGTTGAAAGTTTTCTTTGTCGGCAAGGCAACGTGGCGGCAGTAACTTCGGTTATTTGAGCGCCAAAATTGTAACATTGGTAGCAATAAACGAGTTATCATTTTAAGCTCAAATAGTTTACTGTTTTAATATATGCCAAAATAAATCAATTATTCACCACAGTGTGGGTGGCTATATGGTAGATATCTACCTTGCCTCTTCGCATCTCGCAAATTCCACCACTAGCCACCGACACTGTTTTTTTTATATATTTTGAGGGCATCGGGATGTCGTTTTTCAGCTATTTCTCTATTTAACTTTTTAAACATCAACACTGAGTTCCCTTTACCTGGTATATAAGCGTAGGATATTTTCTCGAAGTCCTCGAATGGTTCATTTGACTCATCCATGGGCTCATCTTCTTCCTGCTTTTCACCAGGGTCTGGCACCAATTCCACGCTGAGAGGTGCCCTAGCGTCATCCGTTTGGGGAGAATCCTGCAGAAATTGCTCGAGTACACCTTTATCCCTCTGTACTCCAGCTGCTTCTGTCTCACTGCGCTTCACACCGATTTCTCTTCTTTCTCGACACTCGACTTCCTACGTAGAACGTTGGGACAAACCATCAAAAATTACAACTTACTGTTATGGAAATCATCAAAGAATCATCGAATCTTAAACAGTAGTTTTTCCCTTTTCAGTCGATCGAAAAGGCAAGCTGTCACCGCGAGAGTGGAGTGGACTGCGGAGTTAGAGGCTGGCGTGAGTGCGCCGGGAATAGCCTATGAACTGATCCCACAGGTCGTAGTAAAGGCTAGAAAGAACAGGCTACTCATGCAGTTAGTGCCGGCGTATAAACTTCACATACGAGCCACAGTCTCTTGCTGATCCCCAAAAGATCCCTCTAGCGTACTGAGGAGCACGCTAATATTGGGAATGTATAAGTTCATACTAAACTAGACAAATAAGTTATCAGAACATGAGATTGTAATTATGAGTTCTTGATAAGATAAAACGACTATCTGGTTAAAACAATAACTTTTACAGAGTTAGTAACATTCTGATTTTCATTTCCTAAATTCGTGAAAAAGAGGTGACGTGTTTGTTCTAAAATGTGCGTAAAATCATCAGTCGTAAGCTTGAAGTATCTCAAAGTATCACTAAATAAAGGTTTTTTCAATATCGTGATGCCAAAATTTCACAAGGCACATGCACACAAGCAAACCTGTTTGGGGACCACTTAAGTAACCGCTACTTCAGTTTTCTTTTTGGCAACACATTTCTTTAATTTCCTTTTTATGAGGATCAAAGTAATGTAACAGTTCTCCCTCGTGAATTGGTCTGCGACCATCGTCGCAAGAGAAGATAAAGCTCTGTCTTCCATCTAGAAAATACAGACAGAAATAGTAAGAAAGTCAGCGCCGAGCAAACGATTGAGTGAATAAGTGACCAAGTAGAGTGCCAGCCGCCCCTTTTGATTCAGTCTAAACATGAGTGCTCTCACCACGACACAGGAGTGAGCGAACTCTGGGGTGCAGAGATTAAATGTGTTCCAAAATTTCTCATGTAATAAGGTACAAACACACAGCATACCTGTTTGGGAAACAATGGAGTAACCGGTACTTCAACTTCCTTTTCCGGAACAAATTTCTTGTCCTTTTTGTCAGGATCAAAGTAATGCAACAGTGCGTCTTCGTGAATTGGTCGGTGTTCCCTGTCCCATGAAAATATGAAGCTTTTCCTTCCATCCAGGCATTCTTCGTTGAACTGAGAAGAAATTTTTCTCCGAGCCCAGCGCGACAGGTAGGAACCTTGTTCCTCAGACCAGTCCTTGTAGTTGTCATCACCACCGATAACAACGAGTACTTTTCCTCCTATAACTCAATGAAAGAAGTTAAAATCCCTTTATTAATCGGGACCTTTAGATTTTTGCACTGCAAGTAAGTATTGAGCTCAAGGAATCCAGAATTCAGAATCAAAGTGTTCCACTATCAAGACCCTATCAAAGAAACCGAAATCCATGGCAAGGAATCCAGAAACCAAGACTGTCTCAGATTTCCTTATAGAGGGTGATATATTTTACAATGCAACATGGTAAGCACCTGCTTTACTCTGCTGTTTCTCTCTAGTTCCTCTGTTTTTGGTTAAATTTGAAAACGAAATCAAAGGCCTCTTTTCCCTTTTTCTCATCGATTTTAGCTTAATTTCAGAAATCACTTAGTTATTGTATAAATTGAATTGATCAACAATGCCATTATGTGTTATTCAATATTTATGTTGCTGATCTTCAGGAGAACGTAAATGTCAAATGCTTCCAGTATGCGGACGACACAACAATCTACGATCATTCCAAAATATGTGACCTAAATAACTGTAGAAACACTACTACAAATCAATAAGGAGAGTACCCTCGCCTTTAACTACGACAAAACCAAGGTTATGATCCTATCCACCCCGCAAATGGCGAGAGTACATCACCTTGCCGAGTATGATCCTAACATCGCAGTCAGTCGTTATAAACTAAAACGTATTAAATCTTGGAAACTGCTTGGAGTTCATATCGATGAACATCTTAAGTGGGACGATCACATCAAGCACACGGTATCTGGATGCTACGCCACTCTATCAATGCTGAGAAAACTGAAATATCTCGCCAAATATGAGCTTAGAAAGCAACTAGCAGAAACATGGCCTGCAGCCGGCCCACGCACTTGTCTAAACCATTTGCGATCGATGCATGCAAGCAGAAACATATTTTGTCAAAACAAGATTATGCCGATCTGGTTTTTTACCCTCTACCACACCATGAATTCGTACTTCGCCGCTTGCAACGAGTTCAGTTTGCTGCTGCAAGTTTTGTACTCGGTCACTATGTTAAGAACGTTCGGGATGTACTTATAATCGGATGGTTTCCATTAATCAATGAGGGAAGAGATTTGAATCTCCTGAAATTTTACTTGGCCAGATTATCTTAAACTAATAAAACAGGAATGCCGCAAGGAACTTAGTGGTCCCGACCAAAAACAGCACTTTCCAAGATAATGCGTCGAAACTATTTAACAATCTTCCAGAAACTATTGGAAACTGTAAACTTACAGAACCTTTCTGAGACTTTCAAGGAATTTTTTATGTAACAGAGTACAGAGTGATTAGTTAGTTTTACTGTAATTTCGATTCTGTTAATCCTGCTTCTATTTTTAATTGTATATTGCATAATTTGTAAATATCTTAATTTGATTTATTATTATTATTATTATCATCATCATCATCATCATCATCATCATCATCATCATCATCGTGGTATTGGTATAAAAGGGTTTGTTTGTCCCACGATTTTCACGTAGTTATTGATCGCGACTTTCCGGTTGAAAAGTTCACTCTGGGTGGTTTATATGATGCTTCTTAAAGGCTGATTATCATTGATCGAATTGAATATTATACGTGTTAATTTACAAATACGTAGACGGCAAACCAGTACTTCATTAGAATTTACCTGTGGCCTTCAATAAAGCTCTGTAAATCCTCGCGCTGTCTTCGTTGATAAAAAATCGATCTTCGTTCGCATGGACTACAAAAATTGCAAAATCCATTATCAAATCGGGAATAATACTCTCACACATCTCTGTTGAGTCCGACAGGCAAAAATGATTCTTAAAAGCGAGCATTTTGATTCCAAGCTTTTCTTTTATGCAGGAAAGTAATTTTCCCACAACGTCCAAGTTACAAGTATCATTGCTACTGAAAATGTAGCAAAGTTTGAACGTTCGATTCCTTTGAACGAGCCGAACTCGATGCATTGTATCAGGCATGTCTGGTTTTGTTTTGGAGTCTAAGCTTGGTTCGCTTTCCAAGAAACGTTCAACCTCGTCCCCAGGGTCTTCTCGTACTCCAATGTGGCGACGGTATAGGTCTTCACTTCCGCTGCCATATTAAAATACTTAAAGAGCTTTTATGACGAGGTTTGAAATTGTTTTTTCTCTATTCAGCGGCGTCACTGACAACACTGCACATAAAAATAGTCAAGTCCAGTCGTACTAATTGACTACCCCGGTTTTCACTGAAAAGAATAACTCTTGCACAAAGGTGAAGTTTTGTTTTTCTGTCAAAGGTACGGGACGAGCAACGAATTAAGTAGACTGGAGAAAAAAATTAGACTGTTCACAGTCGCCTATTTTCTCGTAGGATCGTTAGGATCGAGCTCTTACCGGTACGGGTGGCAATCTTGGTTTCTTATGTACCATATGTACCGAAGGGGACGGGGGGCGGGAGGCGTCGGGATTTATTGCGGTGGGGGAGGAAGGAGAGGAAGGAAAATTTTCCTTGTCTCCTAACGCACCGTTCCCCGTCCTCTAAGTAGATTTGACACTCATTACATCCAAGGTGGCCGCCCGAGGCGCAAAGCACTCGATCTCGATGATCTTACGAGAAAATATGTGACTGTGAACAGTCTAAAAAAATTGAAAGCAAAACATGTTTCTCGAAGTTAAACATTTTTTTGGATTGGCTCACCATATAAGTAATTTACCCAGTAAAGATGGGGGAATGGCTGCAATTTGCTACACTTTAGAAACGAGTAAGGAACTGGAAATCATAATTCATTTTGGTCTCTTAAAAGAGAAACTAAGAGACAAACAAAGTACTCTGTTTCGATGTGAGTTACCTGTAACCAAAATTTTCCGTCTATAATCAGCCTTAAGTCACTTTTTCAATTCTTACAATTGATAGATTACCGGTAGTTCCAAACCTAATAAGATGACATTATAGACCTTATTCACGATGCCCCATCTTTGCACGCGCTTAAGGACTGATGGAATAAAACCGATGTTACGTGGCTTCTCAGGTGGCAAACAAGTGATAAATTTTTCCAATACAAGAAATCGCGGTCAGTCGAGTTTGTTCATTCTTGACAACCGAAAATGAATAACTTTTTATATTAAAGACGATAATGGCAATTTATGGGTGGAAGTGATCATTTTTACTTTTTTGGATGCAGTAGCGGCCTTAGATGTCCTCACAACAAGCAGTAATGACGTTAATTTTGTCGAAACTCAAACCGTACATTTTGCATGACCTTTTAATCATCTCTTCGTTTTGAGAGAATAAACAAAGTCGACCGCGATTTCTCGCATTGACAAATTTTTTCTTTTGTTTGCCTCCTGAAATACCACGTGAAATTGCTTTTATCCCATCAATCCTAAAGCGCGTGGGAAGTTGGCGGGCATTATGAATAAGGTCTATTAGAGAGTATTCCTAGTCACTTGTTTTTGTCAATGGTGAACGTGCAACATGCAGTTGCAGCACCAGACCATGGAGTTTTTCAGTATGATTAATTACATGTTTGACTGACAGACGTGCGTGTGATGTCATGGAAATAGCTTTTATCCATCATTTTTACATCATGATGACAACAAAAAGACTGATTAGCTGATCTTAAGTAATAAAAACCAGAAAACAAAGTGAAAAAATCATCAAAGAGCTATGAACAAGATCATTAGTGCTACGAAACTACTTTTAATTCCAGTCGTTGTTTGAAAGAAAAAAACGATCCCGTGTTTGGGTGTAGAATTATCCGATCTATGCCATGACAGAGGACGGTCATAACGCGGTAAATTATTGATGATTAATTTCTTCTCACCAGCATGTTAATATCAGGTAGGATCTTTGATAAATGGAATCTATTTGTAAGGTAACAGATGCTTGACACGAGCGAGCCTCCGGCGACCGTACTCTTTACTCGATAGTTCATAGCGTTTGTGTAACTACTATATCAATGTAAATATAGAACTAGGAGCACGGTTTGTAACTAAGGTTTTGACTCTCTCCTACCTTATTTTCTAAATGATCAAGGCATATACAAATGAAGGTTAACTGGCACATGTAAAATAATTACACTTGTTCAGTGCAAAAACTATTCGACCGATTACACATATTTTTGTCCACATTTTTAGCTTTTTGCTCAAGTAAATCCTCAACGACCTGATAAAAGGTGAAATAGCTTTTTCAAAACTACTTTAGGCTACGTTTTATGTTAGCTATATTTTCATGGCATTTTGATCGCAATTTTTCTGATTGCGGTAGGCCGTAGCGTCTTTTCCCCAAATAACACTCAAACTCGAAAATGGAGCTTATAATTTGCAAGTTTTACCGAGTCAACTTCCTTTTCTACCCGGCGCCCAGACCTAAGCCAAAGACATTTTCATAGTTTTCATGTTCTAGGTAACTCGTTTTCATTAATATAACCACTTCTTTGAATTTTAAAAAATAGCTCTTAAATAAATTATCGGTTGGCTAGTCTGCACTTTAATTTCCCCAATGCTCTTGAAGCCATACAAATAGCAATCAGTTTTAGTATCCTTTAAGTTCTGTCAAATTTCTTTCAAAGTACACTACGTGAAGCTGTTCAAAAGGTATTGCTCATTTAATGTCACTCCCAAACACGTTCCTCTTATTCTAGTCAAGGGGGAGAGATGGGTCACTGTCAGAAGAAGAGATATTGGTACATCCATCGGGAGGACCATCTTCACTTGCAATCGACCCAGTGGCCTCGGTACCAGGCACGCTCCCACTCATCAGGTTTGACCCGACCTGCGTGATGGTACCCAAGACGTTAACCCCCGCTTTAATTACGTCTGCCCCGACCTCTGTAACACTCGTGACGCCGGCCCCAATGGCGTTTGTTCCGTCAGCGACTCTTTCCCCGACACTCGGCAGCCCGACGCACCCAAAAGCACCTTTAAAACTTTCATCCAGTCCACTTAATCGGCTTTCCCAGTCCGGAGTCACCACTGTGCGCTCATCTCCAGTTTTGTTCTCGCGGTATACTGACAATTCGACGTTGTTGATTGTGTGCCACTCTCTCAACAAATTTTTGATCATCTTCTGAGGAGCCGTCCATCCTTCCTGTTTTACTTTGACGTCTTTTTCATCGTATGAAATGTTTCCAAGGCGTAATCGGGTCTTAAAAACTAAGGTAAACTCGTCAGGGTTTATGGGACGTTCTACATGCGTTGAGGGAGCACGATTGCTAGCTGGAAGAGAGTGTGATCGACTAAAACTTGATCGCTTAGTTTTGTTGTTTCCCTTGCACCAAAAAACTAAGCCTTTTTCGCCGAGAAGCTCTTTAATTGTGGCTGTGATGCTTCCTTCTTCACTAGGAGTAAGGCTTTGTCCTTCACTGCAAAGGATTACAACAATCTTCTTCTCTGTTAACGAAAAGACAAATCGGAAATTGGTTTACTTTACTTACCCTCTGAAGTTTTTATTATACAAAACGTTGTGAGACACCGCAAATATCTAAAACCAAAAACTCAAATTAAACATAACAGTGTCAAGAATCCTAATTAGCAAGGGGCTGGTGCTGCTAGAAACGACTCCACCCAGGGGTCACAGTGAGATTAGATGCTGAAACTGCAAGATTGAAAGTCCAGCACTCTGACAACACGGCACGTTGTGTTCAGAACTGACTGGAACAGCATACTTTTTTTTTTGATGTCATGGAAGCTTTTATTCATTCATTTTTTAAAAAGAAATGAACATCAGAACGTCAGGGGCACCCAACGACGGTTTCCGGCCTACATACATTGAAAACACTTTTTAGCCTATCTATCCTGGGTACTTTTAGATCTCTAGAAATGTATTGTAAGCGGCGCTATAAAATTTGTATCTGTTCGGTCATCCTAGGGGAACTTGACTCTTTTCGAAATTTCAGGGGTTTGAGTATTATATTCCCGAAAATGTTAGATGCAATTTGACGTATTACGAAAGTGAGACATACTATTCTGATTTCTCCGTCCATCACACTTTTGAATCCCAAAACTGTGTTAGCCTAATTTGGGAAGTGAAATGTGAAAATTAAACTTCAGAAAATCGTAGGGGATTTTTAAGATAAGCTCTCGAAAATTGTACATGAATGGAACGGTCATTTAGAAATTTTCAGCCGTCCTCAAGTACTGGAAAATTCTTTCCTTCTTCGAACAGATATTTTACAAAAAACAGTCTTTGGGTGCCCCTGGAACATGCCATCAAAGAAAGAAGAAAATCTCAGGGGCACCCAACGACTGTTTTTTGTAAGATATCTGTTCGGAGAATCAAATATTGCCTAGAATTTTCTATCACTTGAGGACGGCCAAAAATTTCTAGATAACCGTTCTATTTATGTACAATTTTCGAAGCTTATCTAATAAATTCCCTACGATTTTCTGAAGTTTAATTTTGACATTTCACTTTCAAAGTTAGGCTATTTTTCCTAGAACAAAGGAAACCTAAAATTTTCGGATTCAAAAATGTGATGGAGAGAGGAATTAGAAAATGTCTCACTTTCGTAATACGTTAAATTGCATCTAAAATTTTCGGGAAAATAATACTCAAGCCCTTATAATTTCGAAAAGACTCAAGTTCCCCTGGGATGACCGAACAGATACAAATTTTATAGCGCCATTTAGAATGTTTTTCTACACATCTAAAAGTACTCTGGATAGCCTAAAAAGTGTTTTCATTGTATTTATTAGAGGAATCTGTCGTTGGGTGCCCCTGACATCTGATCAGAACATGCCTAACAACGCTTCAGTTTAAGATTAATTTCATGGTTTATGTCTGGAGATAACAAGTAAAACTTCTAAATGCATTATAAGTATAACATGATTAAAAACCGTTTTGGTCACAAATTCATACAAAGGAAGCGAGGAGCGAATCTCTTGGTATAACAACGAAGTGTGCAGGGAAAAGGGAGAGGAAATGTTCTTACCTACAATCCTCTTGGCAGTTTTCAGAAGGTCTTGGTAAACGGTACTGCTTGATTTCGTCAGCGATTCCTCTTTTATTTTCGTAGATTCAACAATAATAAAACAGGATCTAACTGGCGTATTTTGCAATAAAACCTTCATATCGCACGGATCTCTCGATGTGATAGTATTAATACCCGGTAAGACATCACCAAACACGCCCTTCATAATGGTATTAATATCAGACTCGTCCCGGATAAGGATCGCTATGCTTTCCATTTCTTCTTCACGTGCACGTTTAGGTTCTGTTGTTTGCATGGAATCCTCTGGAACAAAAATTGCAAAAGGTAGGTAAAAAGTTGAAGGAAAGTTTTCTTATTTAGCCTCATGGGCCCATCCTTGGGCCGATGATGTTCAACTTGTATGCGCCAGAACTGCAGATAACCTCGATCAATCTCTCTTCCCTTGATCCATCCCCAGCTTGTTCTCAAAATGCAGATGCTACCATTACCCACTGTGCAGTCAAGGAACTCTGAGATTCAAGCACAAGGGTGAGAGATTTGAACCGTTGTCTCACCAAGCATGGGCCATAATCTAAGGATTCCAATCTTTCCTTGAATCCTTTTAAGACCAAGTGCATACTTTTTCCCACCCAGCAGATATGTCAACCTACCACAAGCTGGCCGACCGCTCACTCAACTTCACTACCGTAGGAAAACCTCTGGAGCGTGTCGGCTTAACAAGTTGCTCGGGGTGCATATCAACTATAACCTCAAATGGGAAGAGCATGGTAACGACTTGGGTACTTCCATTACGGTACCTTGGCTATGCTTTAAGCTATGATAAAACGGGCAACAAACAAGTGCAACTTGTTTTGCAATATTGCTGCAAAACGAGTTGGAAAGCGCGCGTTTTACCCGTCTTGTAACAAATGAGGTTGTTGCAAGTTGCGACGGTGAATACTGACTTCTGATTGGATAAAATTACGCGGAAGTCATGTCACGGGAGTTACGTCATTTATTGCAAAAAATGTTTGCCTTGGGCTGGTAAAGCGCGTGCAACATGTACAGATTTTGTTGCAAAAAGTTGACCTACTCTCTACTATCTGCAACAACTTTTCGCAACGTGCAACAACCTGATTTGTTACAAGACAGGTTGATGGGTCGTAAAACGTGCAACATCGCTATTCAACTCGATTCGCAGCCATGTTACAAAACAAGTTGCACGTTTTCGTTGCCCTTTTTACCGTACCTTAGTTCGGTCATACCAAGACGTATTTTTTCAACCCACCAGGGGAAATTTCTCTCAATCGAAAGGCTTGAGTGTATCCAGTTTTCAGCTGCCATCTTACATGTCTCAATGTAAAGGCCGTACATAATATACTTAAATTAGGTTGGTTACCAATGAGGGAGCAACTGGACTGTATCTATTTAAGGCAGCCCATAAGGTTTTGCACAATGAGCACTGGCCCAGAAATCTAAGATCGTAAACTGTTAGCCACGGTACATTACTAAGCTCTTGTGAGACAGTAAAACATATAACAATACTGCTGGCACCGAATACCTTTGAGGACGCTGCTGATCAATCTTTTCAATTCGTTACCTGCTCAACGGAAATCTTGCACCAATTTTAGACCTCGTCATGCGCGCATAAACATTTTTTTTTATTTTGAAGGAGCGCAGTAGAATTTTAGTTAGGGTTTACTTGTTGTTTACTTTTTTATTATACTATCTATTTGAATTTCCTTGAAGAGTACTTTTATGTATATGAAAGTGAACATGATCATTGCAGTAGAATGAACAGGAGTTGAATAAAAGAACCTGAAAAGTTTCAGGGTTGGCCGAGAATTGAACCCTGCCTGCCCTTTACGATAATCGGACGCAACGCTCTATCCATTAAGCTAATCAAGCAAATTAGAGAGCAGGCCATTGTGAGTTCGTTATATACCCGATGGTGTGGTAATGACATGAACTGAATCATATTTTGAACGGCGGGAAAAGATATGAAAGCTAACGTGATCATCGCAGTCGAATGAATTTTCAACCGCTTAGTCTGTTCATCTCTACTACGATGGTCATTCATATCTTTATCCGCAGTTCAAAATATGATTCATTTCATGTTTTCATTCAGTATTTGAATGTAGTAGTTGAACCATATTTTCTTTTACTTACTATACGCAGATGTATACTAGATATATATGTTATCGAAGAAACCGGTGAAAAAGTTTTTTGTTTAAAAACGCACATTAAGACCATTAAGGCTTGCGCTACTTTATTTAGCTAACATGTACATTAAACTAAGCTAAATGCTTTTTTGTACAGAACGGTTTCATATTATACAACTATCCCCCGAAGGGGAGGTTAATAGTGGTGGTATAGCGAGAAGCGAAGCGTCGACGTATATATCTAGCACTGTTCACCGACCCTGAGGAGGATATTTGTTTTAGTATTTACCAAATCAGTTAGCTGAAAATGAAAAAAAATAACTTTTTTGTAAATTAAAAACGTCGCTGAGTAGGAAGTTTGTTTACAATTTATGAACATTTCGGGGACTTTGTCAAGCGCGTTTTTACGGTTTTGTTGCAAATGCAGCAAGAAAATAATTTTCTACCTACCAGTAAACACCGATAAGCTGAAGTTCGTCGCTTTCTTGGTATTTGTTTGTACGACTGCTTCATTTATCGCTCAAATTTCGTCTTCCGAAATTTCTCGAAACGAGACGCCATCTCGGCTTCGGTTTCAAAACAGCCAAGGATATTCCGAGTTACGGGAGCCAATCAAAACGCGCGAAAATTGCTATTCACTGACTTGGTAAATACTAAACAGGAATAACTCACAACCCCTTTTGAAGAGATGTCTCTACATGTGCTAAAAACTTGCCTTTATGTTGAAAGTTTATTTGTCGACAAGGCAACGTGACGGCAGTAACTTCGGTTATTTGAGCGCCAAAATTTTAATCATTAGCAGCAATAAACGAGTTAAAATTTATCATTTTTAAGCTCACATATGTCAATGTTTTATCACATATCTAAAATAAATCAACTATTCACCACAGTGTCGGTGGCTCGTGGAAGAAAATTTACATTGCCGCATCGCGTCTCGCTAAATAGCACCACTAGCCACCGGCACTGTGGTGAATAATTGTTTTATATATTTTGAGGGCATTGAGATGTCGTTTTGCGGCTATTTTTCTATTTCTCTTTTGAAACATTTGCACTGAGTTCCCTTTACCTGGTACATCAGCATGGGTTATTTCCTCGAAGTCCTCGAACGGTACATTTGACTCATCCCTGTGCTCATCTTCTTCCTGCAACAAGAGATTGTAATTATGAGTTCTTGACAAGATATAACGGCTGTCTGGTTAAACAATAACTATTACAGAGTTAGTAACATTCTGATTTTCAATTCCTAAATTCGGGAAAAAGAGGCGATATGTTTGTTCTAAAAAGTGTGCAAAACCATCAGTCGCCGAGTATCTCGAAGTACCACTAAACGGAGGTTTTTTCAAAATAGTGTTGCCAAAATTTCACAAGGTACATGCACACAAGCAAACCTGTTTGGGGAGCACTTGAGTGTTCGCTACTTCAGTCTTCTTTTCGGGAACAAATTTCTTTTCCTTTTTATGAGGATCAAAGTAATGCAACAGTGCTTCTTCGTGAATTGGTCTGTGACCATCGTCCCAAGAGAAGATAAAGCTCTGCCTTCCATCCAAGTATTCTTCGCTGAACTGAGAAGAAACTTTTCTCCGAGCCCAGCGCGACAGGAGGGAACCTTGTTCCTCAGCAGAGTCCCTGTAGTTGTCATCACCACCGATAACAACGAGTACTTTTCCTCCTATAACTCAATAAAAGAAATTAAAATCCCTTTATTAATCGTGACCTTTAGATTTTTGTACTGCAAATAAGTATCGAGCTCAAGGAATCCAGAATTTCACAATCCAAGTTCCACTATCAAGACCCTATCAAATAAACCGAAATCCATGGCAAGGAATCCAGAACCCAGAACTGTCTCAGATTTCCTTATATGGGGTGATATATTTTACAATGCAACTGAACATGGTAAACACCTGCTTTACTCTGCTGTGTTTCTCGCTAGTTCCTTTGTTTTTGGTTAAAATTGAAAACGAAATCAAAGGACCTTTTCCCCTTTTTCTCATTTTTTTAAAACTCAATTTAAGAAATCACTTACTTATTTCACAAATTGAATTGATCAACAATGCCATAATGTCGTGAAAGATGTTCATCATAGTATTGGTATAAAAGGGTTTGCTTGTCCCACGATTTTCACATAGTTATTGATCGCGACTTTCCGGTTGAAAAGTTTACTCTGCGGGTGGTTTATATGATGCTAGATCGAACTGAATATTGGGCGTGTTGTTTTACACATAGACGGCAAACCAGTACTACTTTAGAACTTACCTGTGGCCTTCAATAAAGCTCTGTAAATCCTCGCGCTGTCTTCGTTGATTAAAAATCGATCTTCGTTTGCATGGACGACAAACATTGCAAAATCCATTGGCAAATCGGGAATAATACTCTCACACATCTCCGTTGTGTCGGACAGGCTAAAATGATTCTTAAAAGCGAGCATTTTGATTCCCAGCTTTTCTTTTATGCAGGAAAGTGATTTTCCCACAACGTCCAAGTTACAAGTATTATTGGTACTGAAAATGTAGCAAAGTTTTAGCGTTCGATTCCTTTGGACGAACCGAATTCGTTGCATTGTATCAGGCATGTCTGTTTTTGTTTTGGAGTCTAAGTTTGGTTCGCTTTCCAAGAAACGTTCAACCTCGTCCCCAGGGTCCTTTCGTATCACAATGTGGAGACGGTATGAGTCTTCACTTCCGTTGCCATATTGGAATATCAAAAGAGCCTTTATGACGTGAATTGTTTTCTTCTTAGTCAGCGGGGTCACAGACAACACTGCACAAAAAATAATTATATCCAGTCATATTGATTGACTACCCCCGATAAACTGAAAAGAATAACTTGGTTGTTTTCTGTCTCACACACAAGGTGGAATTTGTTTTTCTGTCATAGGTACACGACGAGCAACAAAGTAGACCACAGGGGTCCTAGAGTCACAACAGCCTACTGGAAGCCAAATTATAAGGATTTGTATGGGAATTTATCGTAAGATCGAAGGTATACATACCTCATAACGAGTTGTGTCTGTGTTGTTTTCTTACTGTTTCCTGTCATCTAAAGTTCATAAACGTCGTTTTAGCAAGTTTTAATGTTTTGGCTTCTGGACTACTACTACTACTTCGTGACGTCATGAAGGAAGGCAGACGTGCGATTCTGAGCTCGCGAGTTATTGGACTTGTACTTATTTTGTGTCTTGTTCATACCTTGAGGAAAGATAAACAAGATTATTCTTTTACCAGCGAGTACTTTGGTCTATGTTTCCCGCATTCCTCGTCGGTTAAAGAGGTAAACTGGGATACGAGACACTGTACAAAATGGCGGACACACGTGCATGTCACTATCAGTATGAGAGTGAAACGAGCAAGCGCTACTACAGCCTACTACGCCAACTCAACCTCTACCTTTAGACCTGTTATACAACTGCTACATGATGTGGAACTTAACCCTGGACCTGCAAACTGCTCTAGTGGAGACAAGTCAGAAAAGTCAAATGGCAATGTTAAAATCGCACATCTTAATGTTCGCTCGCTCAAATGCCGTGAGCATTTCGTTCTTGTAAAGAATGCGGTACTGGAAAATAAGTTTGATATATTTACCGTATCCGAAACATGGCTCAACAGTTCAGTTACGGATTTGGAGATAGAAATCCCTGGCTATGTTATCTACCGAATCGACCGACAGGCGAGGGTTGGCGGTGGAGTATGTGCTTATGTCTCACGAAATTACAGGACGGAGTACTTGAGTGACATTTCTCTTATCACGGCCTCTGGCTTCCATCAACTGTGGCTAAAAATCCACGTCAGAAACATGAAGTCCTTCCTTGTCTGTACAACCTATAGACCACCGGACACTTCTTTATCTTGTTTCGATTCAGATCTTACAGAGAACTTTATTTATGCCTCGTCGTTTAATGTTCCAATTTATCTATTAGGTGATTTGAACTGCAGACTTGAGAATAGCGACGATCCTGGAGCTAAAGCCCTTGTTAACTTTTGCCGTTCCTATAACTTGTCAATATTGATCAACACACCAACACGAGTTACAGAGACTTCGAAATCAATTTTAGATGTTATCCTTGCATCGGATACAAGACAAGTCCAAACGGCTACAGTTATGGAAAGCTCGATCAGCGACCATGAGCTAATTTATGTCACCTTAAGATTGAAGAAGGCGCGCTCCAAACCCATTTATATTACTACCAGAAGTTTTAAACACTACTGTCCTATTGATTTCAACAACGACGTATCATTGGCACCGTGGTCCATAGTCGATGTTTTCGACGATGTCGAGGATAAAATTTATGCATTTGATTCGCTGTTTACTGAGATACTCGACCGTCATGCTCCAGTTAAAACCTTTAAAGCACGCTGTAAGCCAAACCCATGCGTAACCGACAACATCCGCGGATTGATGAAGACCAGGGATGATTGGCGTAAAAAAGCAAAGAAAACAAATGACCCGCTATCCTGGACTGCCTACAGATATTTCAGACAGGAAGTAAAGAGGGAAATTAGAATTGCTGAACGAGAATTTGTTGCTGAACAAATCCAAAGGAACCCAAATAACACCAATAATATCTGGAAAGCAATCCGCCAGTGTGTCCCCAATAAATCTACATCTCAGCGAACATTTAGTAAGAGCGTCAAATCTGTTGCAGACGAATTTAACCAGTTCTTCGTATCTGTTGGTCAGAGCACTGTTGACAAAATTACGTCCCTGGCTAATGAATGCAACTTAACACTTAATCAGAATTATTTCGTGCCGAGACAATACGCTTCCTCTGACCAGTTCACACTTAGTACCGTTGATTATAAACAAGTAGAGCGTATAATAGCAGCGATGCCTTCAAACAAGGCCCCCGGGATAGATAAAATTCCGATCCGTGTCATCAAAGACTGTCTTAATCCAATTGTTCACCCAATAACGTCTATCGTTAATGCATCCTTTCAAAACTGTGTTTTTCCATCAAAATGGAAAACAGCCGAGGTTACACCCATCCTAAAGGAGGGCGACCATGAACAGGCAAACAACAATAGACCCATCTCACTTCTACCAGTTTTATCGAAGGTTTGCGAAAGGGTAGTACATAATCAACTCACCTCGTATCTGCAATCAAATGACACCCTATCAAAGAGTCAAAGCGGTAACAAGAGATGGCACTCTTGTGAAACATCTGTCATTGAAACAACAGACACAATTCTTAACGCCATCGATAAAAAGAAGTTAACGGCAGTTGTACTATTAGATATGAGCAAAGCCTTTGATAGTGTCAATCATGACACGTTAATTTTAAAATTGCAAGATGTCGGAATTTCCAGTGACACTCTCCAATGGTTTCGTAGTTACCTAAGCAACAGGTCACAAGTAGTACGAATCTATTCAACGCTATCTGAGCCTTTGTCTGTGACCAGTGGCGTTCCTCAAGGAAGCATCTTGGGCCCACTTCTTTTTAGCATATATACGAACGATCTTCCATTGATCCCACAGAAATGCAGCACCCAGAGTTATGTAGATGATACGAAACTCATTACTTCCTTCGAGCTTAAAGCCAACCTGGATGCAATTGCTGATTTGGAAGACGACCTGTTTAAAATAGGGGAATGGTGTTCCAACAATCAATTGTTACTAAACCCTGGCAAAACCAAGTTGATGATATTTGGCAGCAGGCAGATGCGTGCAAAATTCCAATTTCGTTACCTTTCCTTTATGGGTAAGGACATTGTCCCTACAGACACCGCCAAAGACCTTGGTGTGACTTTGGATTCTAATTTAACTTACGATGAACATATAATTAAAACCGCTTCCTCGTGCATGTCCCGCCTTGGCCAGATAAACCGTGTCAAGCATGTCTTCGACAAACGTACACTTTTGATGATTATTAATTCCTTAGTTTTTAGCAGGTTATTTTATTGCTCCAATGTTTGGTCAAATACCTCATCTCACTGGCGTATTTCCCAATAGGAGTAACTCCTTCATAGAGTGCGGATCTCTCGATGTGACAGGATTAATACTCAGTAAGACTGCCTCACCAAACATTTCCGTTATGGTATTAATATCAGACTCGTCCCGGATAAGGATCGCTATGCTTTCCTTTGGCGGACTTGTATCCACTCCTTCGACACTTGCACGTTTAGGTTGTTCTGTTTCAAAATAAAAAAAAAAAGATAGGTAAAAAATAAGGGGTTATGTATTCATTGATTTTTTGGGCCGGGAAGGGTCTCAAATGGTTGAAGGGAAGTTTTGTTATTTTGCCTCAAAGGTCCATCCTTAGGCAGATGATCTTCAACTTGTATGTGACAGATTTGCAGATAACCTCGATCCATCCACTGTTTGTTCCCAAAATGCAATTCATACATTTATCCACTGTGCAGTCAAGGAACTAAAGTAAAAAAGGTGAGTGATTTTACTTCCCTGCTAAAGGAAAACCTCTAGAGCGTGTTAGCATGTGTACAGACGCCGCCTCCCCTAAAAAGAAAATCTACGATAGGGGGCGTCTGTACACAGGCTCAAGCGTGTCGGCTCAATAAGTTGTTTGGGGTGCACATCTACCATTTTTTTTTTTGGCGGGGGGGAGGCCGGGAAGGGTCAAAAATGGTTGAACGGAAGTTTTGCCATTTTGCCTCAAGGGTGAGAGATTTGAACCGTTCTCTCACCAAGCATGGACCATAATCTAAGGATTCCAACCTTGCCTTGAATCCTGCTAAGACCAAGTGCATGCTTTTTCCCACCCAGCAGATATGTAAACCTACCACAAGCTGGCCGACCGCCCACTTAACTTCACTTCCGCAAGAAAACCTCTGGAGCGTGTTGGCTCAACAGGGTGCTCGAGGTGCATATCAACAATAACCTCAAATGGGAAGAGCATGGTAACGAATGGGGCATTTCCATTTACGGTACCTTGCCAATGATTTAAGCTATAATAAAACGGGCAACAAACAAGTGCAACTTGTTTTGCAATATTGCTGCAAAACGAGTTGGAAAGCGCGTGTTTTACCTGTCTTGTAACAAATGAGCTTGTTGCAAGTTGCGACGGTGAATACTGACTTCTAATTGGATAAAATTACGCAGAAGTCATGTCACGGGAGTTACGTCATTTATTGCAAAAAAAGTTTGTCTTGGGCCCGTAAGGTGCGCGCAACATGTACAGATTTTGTTGCAAAAAGTAGACCTACTCCCTGCTATCTACAACAACTTTTCGCAACGTGCAACAACCTGATTTGTTACAAGACAGGTTGATGGGTGGTAAAACGTGCAACATCGCTATTCAACTCGATTCGCAGCCATGTTACAAAACAAGTGGCACGTTTTCGTTGCCCTTTTTACCGTACCTTAAGGAACAACTTGTTTCATCCTTAGTTCGGTCATACCAAGACTATTTTTTCAACCCACCAGGGGAAATTTCTCTTAATCGAAAGGCTTCAGTGTATCCAGTTTTCAGCTGCCACCTTACATGTCTCAATGTAAAGGCCGTATATAATATACTTAAATTAGGTTGGTTACCAATGAGGGAGCAACTGGACTGTATCTATTTAAGGCAGCCCATAAGGTTTTGCGCAATGAGCACTGGCCAAGAAATCTCAGACCGTAAACTGTTAGCCACGGTAGATTACTAAGCTCTTGTGAGACAGTAAAACATATAACAATACTGCTGGCACAGAATACCTTTGAGGACGCTGCTGATCAATCTTTTCAATTCGTTACCTTCTCAACGGAAATCTTGCACCAATTTTAGGCCTCGTCATGCGCGCATAAACATTTTTTTTACTTTGAAGGAGCGCAGTAGAATTTTAGTTAGAGTTTACTTGTTGTTTACTTTTTTATTATACTATCTATTTGAATTTCCTTGAACAGTACTTTTATGTATATGAAAGTGAACATGATCATTGCAGTAGAATGAACAGGAGTAGAAAAAAAGAACCTGAAAAGTTTCAGGGTTGGCCGAGAATTGAACCCTGCCCTTTGCGATAACCGGACGCAACGCTCTATCCATTAAGCTAATCAAGCAAATTGGAGAGCAGGCCATTGTGAGTTCGTTATATACCCGATGGTGGTAATGACATGAACTGAATCATATTTTGAACGGCGGGAAAAGATATGAAAGCTAACGTGATCATCGCAGTTGAATGAATTTTCAACAACTTAGTCTGTTCATCTCTACTACGATGGTCATTCACATCTTTATCCGCAGTTCAAAATATGATTCAGTTCATGTTTTCATTCAGTATTTGAATGTAGTAATGTGATTTCAACCATATTTTCTTTTACTTACTATACGCAGATGTATACTAGATATATATGTTATCGAAGAAACCGGTGAAAAAGTTTTTTGTTTAAAAACGCACATTAAGACCATTAAGGCTTGCGCTACTTTATTTAGCTAACATGTACATTAAACTAAGTTAAATGCTTTTTTGTACAGAACGGTTTCATATTATACAACTATCCCCCGATGGGGAGGTTAATAGTGGTGGTATAGCGAGAAGCGAAGCGTCGACGTATATATCTAGCACTGTTCACCGACCTTGAGGGGGATAGTTGTTTTAGTATTTACCAAATCAGTTAGCTAAAAACGAAAAAAATAAAGTTTTTGTAAATTAAAAACGTCGCTGAGTAGGAAGTTTTTTTACAATTTACGAACATTTCGGGGACTTTGTCAAGCGCGTTTTTACGGTTTTGTTGCAAATTCAGCAAGAAAATAATTTTCTACCTACCAGTAAACACCGATAAGCTGAAGTTCGTCGCTTTCTTGGTATTGGTTTGTACGACTGCTTCATTTATCGCTCAAATTTCGTCTTCCGAAATTTCTCGAAACGAGACGCCATCTCGGCTTCGGTCTCAAAACAGCCAAGGATATTCCGAGTTACGGGAGCCAATCAAAACGCGCGAAAATTGCTATTCACTGACTTGGTAAATACTAAACAGGAATAACTCACAACCCCTTTTGAAGAGATGTCTCTACATGTGCTAAAAACTTGCCTTTATGTTGAAAGTTTATTTGTCGACAAGGCAACGTGACGGCAGTAACTTCGGTTATTTGAGCGCCAAAATTTTAATCATTGGCAGCAATAAACGAGTTAAAATTTATCATTTTTAAGCTCAAATATGTCAATGTTTTATTACATATCTAAAATAAATCAACTATTCACTACAGTGTCGGTGGCTATTGGAAGATATTTACATTGCCGCATCGTGTCTCGCTAAATAATGCCGCTAGCCACCGGCACTGTGGTGAATAATTGTTTTATATATTTTGAGGGCATTGAGATGTCGTTTTGCGGCTATTTCTCTATTTCTCTTTTGAAACATTTGCATTGAGTTCCCTTTACCTGGTACATTAGCATGGGTTATTTCCTCGAAGTCCTCGAACGGTACATTTGACTCATCCCTGTGCTCATCTTCTTCCTGCAACACGAGATTGTAATTATGAGTTCTTGATAAGATATAACGGCTGTCTGGTTAAACAATAACTATTACAGAGTTAGTAACATTCTGATTTTCAGTTCCTAAATTCGGGAAAACGAGGCGATATGTTTGTTCCAAAAAGTGTGCAAAACCATCAGTCGCCGAGTTTCTCGAAGTACCACTGAATGGATTTTTTTTCAAAATAGTGTCGCCAAAATTTCACAAGGTACATGCACACAAGCAAACCTGTTTGGGGAGCACTTGAGTGTTCGCTACTTCAGTCTTCTTTTCGGGAACAAATTTCTTTTCCTCTTTATGAGGATCAAAGTAATGCAACAGTGCTTCTTCGTGAATTGGTCTGTGACCATTGTTCCAAGAGAAGATAAAGCTCTGCTTTCCATCCAAGTATTCTTCGCTGAACTGAGAAGAAACTTTTTTCCGAGCCCAGCGCGACAGGAAGGAACCTTGTTCCTCAGCAGAGTCCCTGTAGTTGTCATCACCACCGATAACAACGAGTACTTTTCCTCCTATAACTCAATAAAAGAAGTTAAAATTCCTTTTTAAATCGGGACCTTTAGACTTTTGCACTGCACGTACGTGTCGTGCTCAAGGAATCCAGAATTCAGAATCCACTTTCCACTATCAAGACCCTTTCAAAGAGACCGAAATCCATGGCAAGGAATCCAGAATCCAAGACTGTTTCAGATTTCCTTATATGGGGTGATATATTTTACAATGCTACATGGTAAACACCTGCTTTACTCTGCTGTGTTTCTCGCTAGTTCCTTTTTTTGGGTTAAATTTGAAAACGAAATCAAATAGCTTCTTCCCCTTTTTCTCACTGATTTTAGTTTGATTTAAGAAATCACTTAGTTATTGTACAAAACCGAAGGGATCAACAATGCCATCATGTCGTGGAAGATATTCATGGTGGTATTTGTACAAAAGGGTTTGTTTGTTCAACGATTTTCACAAAGTGATTGATAGCGACTTTCCGGTTGAAAAGTTCATTCTGGGTTGTTTATATGATGCTAGGCTGATTATCATCGATCGAATTGAATATTAGGCGTGTTGTTTTACAAATAGGTAAACGGCAAACCAGTACTACATAATATTAGAACTTACCTGTGGCCTTCCACAAAGCTCTGTAAATCCTCGTGCTGTCTTCGTTGATTAAAAATCGATCTTCGTTCGCATGGACGACAAATATTGCAAAATCCATTGGCAAATCGGGAATAATACTCTCACACATCTCTGTTGTGTCGGACAGGCTAAAATAATTCTTAAAAGCGAGCATTTTGATTCCCAGCTTTTCTTTTATGCAGGAAAGTAATTTTCCCACAACGTCCAAGTTACTAGTATTATTGGTACTGAAAATGTAGCAAAGTTTTAGCGTTCGATTCCTTTGGACGAACCGAATTCGTTGCATTGTATCAGGCATGTCTGAGTTTTCTTTTGGAGTCTAAGCTTGGTTCGCTTTCCAAGAAACGTTCAACCTCGTCCCCAGGGTCCTTTCGTATTACAATGTGGCGACGGTATGATTCTTCACTTCCGTTGCCATATTAAAATATTAAGAGAGCCTTTGACGTGAATTGTTTTCTTCTTAGTCAGCGGGGTCACTGACAACACTGCAAAAAAAATAATTATATCCACTCGTACTGATTGACCAACCCTGATTTCACTGAAAAGAATAACTTGGTTGTTTTCTGTCTCACACACAAGGTGGAATTTGCTTTTCTGTCATAGGTACACGACGAGCAACAAAGTAGACCACGGGGATCCTTGAATCACAACAGCCCAGTACTGGAAGCCAAATTATAAGGATTTGTATGGGAATTTACCGTAAGATCGAAAGTATACATACCTCATAACGAGTTGTGTCTGTGTTGTTTTCTTACTGTTTCCTGTCATCTAAAGTTCATAAACGCCGTTTTAGCAAGTTTCAATGTTTTGGTTTCTCGACTACTAAGAAGAAAATAAGGGAAAACTGGGAAAACTCGGCTTTATTNTATGCAGGAAAGTAATTTTCCCACAACGTCCAAGTTACTAGTATTATTGGTACTGAAAATGTAGCAAAGTTTTAGCGTTCGATTCCTTTGGACGAACCGAATTCGTTGCATTGTATCAGGCATGTCTGAGTTTTCTTTTGGAGTCTAAGCTTGGTTCGCTTTCCAAGAAACGTTCAACCTCGTCCCCAGGGTCCTTTCGTATTACAATGTGGCGACGGTATGATTCTTCACTTCCGTTGCCATATTAAAATATTAAGAGAGCCTTTGACGTGAATTGTTTTCTTCTTAGTCAGCGGGGTCACTGACAACACTGCAAAAAAAATAATTATATCCACTCGTACTGATTGACCAACCCTGATTTCACTGAAAAGAATAACTTGGTTGTTTTCTGTCTCACACACAAGGTGGAATTTGCTTTTCTGTCATAGGTACACGACGAGCAACAAAGTAGACCACGGGGATCCTTGAATCACAACAGCCCAGTACTGGAAGCCAAATTATAAGGATTTGTATGGGAATTTACCGTAAGATCGAAAGTATACATACCTCATAACGAGTTGTGTCTGTGTTGTTTTCTTACTGTTTCCTGTCATCTAAAGTTCATAAACGCCGTTTTAGCAAGTTTCAATGTTTTGGTTTCTCGACTACTAAGAAGAAAATAAGGGAAAACTGGGAAAACTCGGCTTTATTACGGTGCTCGAAGAAACTGAGCTGCAAAACTTACCTTTCTTCTACTCCAATAGCCCCAAATCATCGCTTGAGCAAACACATAAGATTTTCCTTCCTTGAAAACCTCAATTTAATTTAAAATTTGAACTTAGCGCTTCCGTTGAACCGTTCCTCTTCGTGGTGAACTACCGATTGGCTAAGTAGCCACACCACACGTTCAAAATCCCCTCGACGGGGACCCGTGTTTTTCCCGCCTCTTCTTTGTAAAATGAGCGAAGAATTCAACGAATTATTACTTCATAGCTAGATTACCAGTAATTCCAAACCAAATATGATTACATTATTAGAGCGTATTCCCAGTGCCCTACTTAGTAAGCGGAGGTTTTTGCTCATTACCTGGTTTGGACTATGATTTACTTATTTGACTGAAAACAAGACTGTTAAGCTGATCCCACCAGAATCCAAAGTGAAAAAATCATTACAAGATCAAGTGCTGCAAAACTACATTGTTATGAAACAAAACGATTCCGTGTTTGTACATCCGATCTAGGTTATGATAGAGGACGTCATAACGCGGTAAATTATTGATGATTAATTGCGAACTTTTTCCTGTCACCAGCATGTTGATATTAGGTGGGATCTTTGATAAACGGAACTATTTGTAAGGTAAGAGATGCTTAACACGAGCGAGCCTTCGGCGAACGTTTTCAAGTTTATGAACTAGATGGTTCATAGTGTTTGTGAAATTACTATAAACGATGTAAATAAGGAGCTCTTCTTTTTAACTTTGGTGTTGATTCTCTCCTGATGAATTTTAACTGGCACTTAATGCATGTAAATTTACATTAAATTTTGTTCACTGTAAAAAGTATTAGACCGATTATACATATTTTTGTCTACATTTTTAGCTTTTTGGTCAGGAAAACCCTCAACGACCTGATAAAAGGCGAAAGAGCTTCTTATTTTCATGGCATTTTGATCGCAATTGTTTTGATTCCCCTAAATAACACTCAAACTTGAAGATGGAGATTTTAATTTAAATTTCAAGTTTTAACAACTCAACTTCTTTTTCTACTCAGCGCCAGCCCTAAGCCAAAGACATACACTTTCACAGTTTTTATGTTAATTAATATAACCATTTCTTTTGATTTAAAAAAATCAACACTTAAAAATTATGTTTGCGAGTCTGCACTTTAATTTCCCTTGCGCTGAAGCCATATAAACAGTAATGTAAGTAATCCTTTATTCTGTCAAATTTCTTTCAAATAAGTAGACTACGTGAAGCTGTTCACAAGATATTGCTCATTTACTGTCACTCCCATATACGTTCCTCTTATTCTAGTTAGGAGAGAGTGGATCACTGTCAGCAGAAGAGATATTACTACATCCATCGGGAGGACCCTCTTCACTTGCAGTCGACCCAGGGGGCTCGATACCAGGCACGCTCTCACTCATTGGGTTTGACCCGACCTGCGTGATGGCAGCCAAGACGTTAACCCCGACGTTAATTACGTCTGTCCCGACCTCTGTAAAACTCGTGACGCCGGCCCCAATGGTGTTTGTCCCTTCAGCGACTCTTTCCCCGACACAGCTCGGCAGCCCAACGCGCCCTAAAGCACCTTTAAAACTTTCACCCAGTCCACTCACTCGGCTCTCCAAATCCTCAGTCACCACTGTGCGGTCATTTCCAGTCTTGTTCTCTCGGTATACTGACAACTCAACGTTGCTGATAGTGTGCCACTTTCTCAACAAATTCTCGACCATCTTCTGAGGAGCTGTCCATCCTTCCGCCCTTACTTTCACGTCTTTTTCATCGTATGAAATCTTTCCAAGGCGTAATCGGGTCTTGAAAACTAAAGTAAACTCTTTAGGGTTTATGGGACGTTCTACATGCGTTGAGGGAGCAAGATTGCTAGCTGGAAGAGAGTGTGATCGACTAACAATTGGTCGTTTAGTTTGGTTGTTTTCCCTGCACCAAAAAACTAAACCTTTTTTGCCGAGAAGCCCCATAATTGTAGCTGTGATGCTTTCTTCTTCACCAGGAGCAAGGCTTTTTCCTTCACTGCAAATGATCACAAGAATCTTCTTCTCTGTAAAGGAAAAGACAAACTGGAAATTGGTTTCAACATCATTGCCATTGAATGTTTTTATAATACAAAACGTTGTGAAGCAGTGCACTAAAATAACTGAAACCGATAATTCAAACATGAATCAAAACATTATAGTGTTAAGAATCCCAATTGGTGACGGGTCCAGCCAGGGGTCAACAGTGAGACTAGAACCTGAAACTACCGGATTACAGGTCTAGCACTCTGCTCACATAGCACCTTGAGTTCGGCAGTATACTGAAACACAGGGGCACCCAACGACGGTTTCCTTCTAAATTAGAAAACACATTTTTGGCTATCCAGAGTACTTTTAGATCTCTAGAAATGTATTCTGAGTGGCGCTGATTCCTTTCTTTATCACATTTTTAAATTCGAAAATTTTAGGTATCCTTTTTTGTACAAAAAATAGCCTAACCTGAGCAGTGAAATGTGAAAAATTAAACTTCATAAGATTGTAGGAAATTTATTCGATGAACTTCGAAAATTGAACACGAATCGAACGGTCCTCTAGAAGTTTTTAGCCGTCCTCAAGAAACAGAAAAGTCTAGGCAATATTTGCTTCTCCGAAGACATATTTTACAGAAAAAAAGTCGTAGAGTGCTCCCGTGAAACAGAACACCTTTTTCGTTGATGTCATGAAAGTTAATACACATTTCTTTCAAAGAAGGAACACTAGAACCGTTTTTAAACAATGCTTCAGAACATTTCGCTATAAGTTTAATTTCATTGTTTTTGTAAGGAGATGACGCGTAAAATTTCTACATGCACGACAAGTAATAAGGGTTTAAAGCAAATTGGTTTCAAATTCAAACAGGGGAAGCGAGGAGCACCTTGCCCTTTTCCTGAATCTCTGGGTATAACAACGAAGTATGCAGGGAATAGTGTGAGGAAATTTTCTTACCTACAATCCCATTGGCAGTTTTCAGTAGCTCTTTATACACTGCAGTACTGCTTGATTTCGTCAGCAGTTCCTCTTTTAGTTCGTTAGACTCAACAATAAGAAAACAGGATCTCATTGGCGTACTTTGCTCGAGGAGTAACTCCTTCATAGAGCGCGGATCTCTCGATGTGAAAGGATTAATACCCAGTAACACATCACCAAAGACTTCCTTTATGGTATTAATATCAGACTCGTCCCGGATAAGGATCGCTATGCTTTCCTGTAGGGGACTTGTATCCATTCCTTCGAAACGTGCACGTTTAGGTTCTGTTTTTGGCAAAGAATCCTCTGCTACAAAATAAAAAAAGTAAGTTAAAAATTAAGGGTTTATGTATTCATTGATTTTTTTGGACCGGGAAGGGTCTAAAATGGTTGAAGGGAAGTTTTGTTATTTTGCCTCAAAGGTCCTAGCCTGCGAACGGCAGACGTTCCTCCTCGATCATCGCCGCTGAAGGACGTTTCGTCCCTCAGCGGCGATGAGCGAGGAGAAACGTCCGCCGTTCGTAGGCTATACACAACATGACTGCCTTAAAGAACGATCTTGTTTAACAAGCACGTGGTTTTTGTAGAGACTATTCACTGTCAGTAAGCTCATGGCTCTCTTTAGGCCTAGGCCAAGCGTCGAACTTTTCAAGGGATTTGGGTCGGCCTAAAGTAAGTTAAGATCGCCTGTTGGGTCAGACGTCAAACGTAGGACGCGTCGAACCAATTCACTGAATCAGACCAAAAAGCCATTTCAAGAAATTTCTCCCCAACGAGGCAAAATGTACATGATCATTCACTCATTTTAGTTTTTGGTTTAGTTCGTCGCTTGTGAAGATCAACATTTGTCCCGGAGACGACCTTCAGACACGTTCTATCCGTCTGAAGCAGACGGATAGAACGTGTTGGACGATCCAAACTCACTCTAGCCTACTAGCAAGCTCTCCATTTGTGGCGAGCGAAGCGAGCCGCGAGAGAACACGCGAGTGAAAGTGACTATTTGCGACTCCCCCAAATGGAGAGCTTGCTAGCAGGCTAAACTCATTCAGACGAACTTAACTGAGCCAGACGTCGAACTTTTCATGATCTTAACTCACCAACTTTGGTTCCTCTCATGAAAAGTTCAACATTTGGCCTAGGCCCAAGAGGACTATTTTTTATTATAGTACCTATTTAACAATTATTCTTTGAAATCGAGGTGAATAGTGGCTAAAATTTGCGGAGACGCGAAGCGGCGAGGTAAATATTCCTAAAGCCACTATTCACCGAGATTGAAAAGAAAAATTGTTTTAGTATATACACACGAAGTGATCTCAACAAAATCAGAGAGGAAACCATTAAAAAGTACGAATCAAATCACGCGAAAGTTTAAAAATAGATCTTCGCAGAATTTTCAAACATGATAATTCACAAGTTTATCACTTCGCAAACAACAGCGTACGTAATGGCTTAAATGGAACCGTTAAAAGTTTGAATTGTTTCCTTGCCTGAGCAGAAAAGTAGAGCTTTATACCCAAAAAGGTTTTTTGTGTCGTTCTTCGCGTAAAGTGCTGATAAAAATGGCGGCTCGGTTGCTCGAGGTAAGACATCGTCTTCCTGACGTAGCATTCTCAGAATTTCTGCAAACATTTGCTTTCAAATTTGTTGTCATAAATATACTTCAATTTGTGGGCCAAATTTTTTCTTTTTAGGAAACGCTGAGTTCACGAAACTGTCTCTTGTACGCGAATAAACGGGAGTTGTAAACAATCCATCGAGCACAAAACTAAGCCACAGTAAATGGAAAAACGCCGTTTTGGATCCTTCGAAGTCTTTTCTAGCCTTAAAAAAAAGTCAACCCTAGCATTTTGTCAACTTTTAAAAGATCATTTTTCTAAAAAATGGGAAAAACACCGAGCTCATACATTATCCCCTCGCTAGAAAGTGAATAGTCCGAGATAGCGAACCAATCGGATTGCTTAAATCACCAAGATCACTGAGTGTGTATATACTAATTGAATTTACCATGGACAGCACAAGTACTTGTATTATAATAATTTATAAAATAACTAAGATAGTACGCGCGTTCTGATTGGTTAAAAACCTATGGTTTTACTGTGCCGGTAAACTTATACAAAACGTAAAGTTATATTATAAAAGCATTAGACCACACTTTCTATGGGTTTACCGGCGTGATAACCCACTTGGGATGTTGCGAGAACATTCGAAAAGCTTTTAAATCACTCGCCTTCGGCTCGTGATTTACAAGCTTTTCTCGTGTTCTCCTAACATCCTCAGTGGGTTATCTGATCACGCCGCTAAACCCATAGAAAGTGTGATCTAGTGCGTGGTCTTTTATTATTTCTTATTTATTTTAAATGTAGAGCCATGTTGTACTAAATATACTGTTAATTAACCACCAAAATCATCATTTTCATCGACTTTGTTATTGTATTGCCCCCGCAGATTTCGCCCAGAAGGCGAAATCCCGAGGAAGCACTCTTGTAACTCGCGCATAATTATATTAAGGAAAGTACTTACAGTTGAAATATACAGTCTTAGATTCAATATAGAAAAAATCTGGATTTGCTTGAACAGGGGCCGCGAGGAATCGGTAGGTAATGATGACGTTTCTATTGTTTGCGCCCGCAAGTACGAAATGGTTAGGATGACGTAAAGACAGAAAATCCCGAAGGGACCACTCAGGTAGATTTTGTGACATTAATTGTGCAGTCATTCACTTCGATACTCTTTTACGTTACGCAGTGACATTCTGTGGAGCAGTTGTTTTGAAAGTTGTGGACCAAAAGACAGATGAGGTTATAAGGTGCGTATGACTGTGTATATATAAATACTTGGAGAGTTTGCCAGACACGAGGTCACAAATCTTTGATTTATATTGGAAACCTTGCCAGACACTCTTTCTCCCTCTTTGACCGGAATAAGACTCAGCCCCAAACAAGCACGACCAATGAGCAACGGCTAGCTTATCACTACGGCTAGCTTATCACTAGCAGAACGATTGACGATTACAGAAATTCGCCGACAATCAAATCTGTGCTGACTTATTCCCTGCTCACAGATGTCCTTCCGTTATAAAGTTTCGGATAAGACTAGAATGCGTGAGCGTGAATCGATCAAACGTCCTTTTAATTTCTAAGGCTTACTTTCCGGCAAATAAAATGAACTGAATGTAAAAATTGAAAGAGAAATAGCGAAATATTCAACTTCTAATTAAATCTTTTCTTATGGTTTAAAATAAACTATTCTCGAAACCGAGAATGTTTTGATCAAAGCTGTGTAAATCGAGCTGAAACTCTGCATAGAACCTTGCGTTTCCTGTATTTATCTCACCTATTGTATGGAATATGTGTGAAAATCTTCATTGTGAATCGGTATATTTCAAAGAGCTACACAACGAGGAAGAATACTATTGACCGACAATATACAGAACGGGGGCAACTGTACTGTGAACTTTAACTAGTTATTCATTATTATCACTCTTATATTTCCTTTTTTAGTTAGAATACGTCTGCGTTTGAAAATAGTTTTTTAATTGAAATGAAGAGGGTTTTTTTTAATCGAAATGAATTTTAAAAAGTGCTTTGACCCTGACAGTTTTTTAAACGAAATTAATCGTTTATCAATGAAATATTAAATTATTATTATCATTATTATTGTTTGGCTACCCCTTTTTTACCATTTGGAACATTCACACTTAAAATCCTACCTATACCTATGTCATCTTACCTTGTAAGATTACATAGTCGTCGTTTTCATCCTCCATATTTTCGTCTTTTTCTTCCGTCTCGCTAGAATGTGGCACAATTTCCCTATCCTGAAGTGCTTTTTCGTCCCCTTGCAGCTGTAGATCAGTTTCTTCGCGTCCTTTTTCACCCGTCTGCAAGGCTTCTGTTTCTGTTTGAACCTTGTCCGAGGAATGTCCCTCTGTCCTACTGCGTTTTACATCTGCCTCAGCTCTTTCTTGAGTTTCGACTTTCTAGGAAGAAAGTAAAGAAAGAAATGGTAAATAAGTGAGCACTGAGCAAACGAATGAGTGAGTAACCGCCCCTTTTCATTCAATCTAAGCTGGGAATGTTCAACCGCGACACTGGAGTGAGCGAACTAGGGGTAGCAGAGGTTTAATTAACGTGTCCCAAAATTTCACTTGTAACAAGGTACAAAAACACAGTATACCTGTATGGGAACCACTTGAGTAACCGGTACTTCAACTCCCTTCTTTTCGGGAACAAATTTCTCATCCTTTTTTTCAGGATTAAAGTAATGCAATAGTGTTTCCTCGTGAATTGATCTGTGCTCTTTGTCCCATGAAAATATGAAGCTTTTCCTTCCATCCAAGTATTCCTCGCTAAACTGAGAGGAAATTTTTCTCCGTGCCCAGCGCGACAAGAAGGAGCTTTGTTCCTCAGCAGGGTCCTTGTAGCTATCATCACCACCGATAACAACAAGTACTTTTCCTCCTATAAGATGATGAAAGAAGTTCCAATCCCTTTATAATACCACAAGTAAGGTACCGAGTACGAAACCTCGTTTTGAAACTAAGAAACTTGAGCTCGGATTTTACTATTATTTTTACTTCTATTCGAATACATTTGTCAATAGTGAAATCATTGTGTGGAATAACTTTATTGCGCCTTACCCTCCAAAGAGAGGTATAGGTCTAGTTACAATAAAGGTTTTAAGACGGTATCCAAAAGGAAATTGAGTAATTTTAATTTTTGGACAAAAACGTTGTACCAGAATAATTTAAAGAATATTGGATTCTTTTTAACATTTTTCAAGGGTTTAAGGCGTAATAAATAATCTGTAGTAACACCAAAGAGAATTTTTTTGTGGAAGTCAGAGAAAATGAATGTCAAATTTCACAAGAATTGTGATAACACACTAGGAAAAAATTCTGAAAATTTCATATGAAAGATGTAATTCTGTGAAATTTGACTTTCATTTTTAGATTGGGCCCACAATGTAAACTACTGGACTAACCAGTAATTGTGTAAGCCATTAAAGTTTTATTTATTTATTTAGATGGCCATCCTTTGCTATGATTGGAGATGTATGGAAAGGATTATCACCTTCTGTAAAGCTGGCAAAGTGAGCATCATTTTAAGAGACATGAAAATAGAGGTCCTGCATAAGTTCGTCATATTCTTTACGATGTATTAGGGAGAGGAAATGGGACGGGGCATGAGGACCTAGCACGGCTTATGTAATCCTTTGGAAGGGGGATGAGGGGGAGGTGGGGGGTAAAAATACTGATGCTCACCCTAGTCTATAGCCTACGTATAGCCGCACCCTCCCTCTCTCCGTTTTTCCTTTTGACGGGGGGAGGGTGCGGCTACACGTAGGCTACCTGGTCTATTTTTCTTTGTGGTCACATAGGGTGTATGACGTGTAGTGCCACTTCATACATGTATTTGGAAAGTGAAAGCGAAACATGTCCACTGCAGTTTTAAAATAATTTGATATTTTTGGCGAGCTCTTTTCCAACAGTTAAACTACTTTTTCTTTAACATTTTCTTCCTGTAAAATAAAATTAAGAGGTTCTTAAAATGTATATTAAACCACTGAGTTAAGCCCAATGAATTATGGAAAGCGACGAAAACATGTCCGTCACTATCACAACATACTTCCGCCTTCTGTTGTTATTCCTTGTTTGTAAATCCATAGGATACTTCTGTGAAACATGTTTGGGAGGATTTTCTTTTTAAACCCGTGAAAGAATGATCTGTAAAATTCTCTGAAACCATTTACTTTTTAATTGAGCCATCAGATTTTAATTTTTCTAAACAGAATTTCTCACCCGTTGCTTGAAGTAAGGTTCTGTAGATCTTTGCATATCCAATGCCAGCGTTTTCTTCATTGATGGAGAGACGCGATTCGTGTGCATGGACCACAAAGACAGCAACATCATCCACCTTGATTTGGTCTGGAAATCGAGTTATGTTTTCACATACCTGAGACATATCTCGAAGGACAAAGTAATGCGACTGGACTGAAAAGGCAAAGTTCAGTTTTGGTTCGACGGCCTTAAACAGCTTCTCCACCACATCAAGCTTGTAGGTTTGATCACAATTAAAGAGATGAACACATTTGATATTTGCTTGATTTTCCTCTTTGTCTGGAGTTTTCATTTCATGGTCAGCATTTGAACTACCCTCCGACGTCTCCATTTTGTTGTTCTCAGACAATCTATCAACTCGGTGTATTCCCCGAAAAAGCGGATGTCGTGGTTTCGACGAAACTGGACAGTTACATGCGTGAAGCAGTTTGTGAACAAGTCACGCAAGTCACGAAAATAGTTCAAAACTTGCCTGTTTGTTAACGAGGATTTTTCCTAAACGATGAATAAAAGACATAAAAGAGTTAAATATTTTATTTTTGGACCATAGGTGTGAATGGATTTTGGAAAACATCTGTCCGAACACTCAAATGTAAGAAGAGTATTTCTCGGAAAAACCTTTCGTGACGTCAAAGTGTTCCGTATTCAAAGTCCGAATGAATGGACGCTTTTCTTTTGGTGAAAGCATCACTCTACCATATTATCCCTAGTTTTAGCACCCAAAGAAATGCCTTTGCTAAGAGAAATAATCATCTAATTCCTAAAAAAAACGATCATGGCACCGATCGAGCCTCCTGCGAGAGAAATAGAAGAGCTTGTTGAGAGATTAACAGAGTACAGAGTTGGCGCGTACGAGCGGTTTGATGATGCTCGGGACGGGGAAATGGATGGCTTCCGTTTGAATATCGTACTGTTTGGAATGGCAGGGTCTGGAAAATCAGCCTTGATTAACACCATCTTCGAATGCTTGGAGACGGGTACACGGCCTGCTGTAACCCAAACGACCGGAAGGGAAGGAACGAAGATTTTAGAAGCTTGTGATCTGCCGAACTTTGTCACGATCTATGACACCAGAGGATTTTTTGATCTTGGCAGGATAGAGGAAGGTACAAAAGCTTTCACTCCTAAATCATTTTATTTTGTAAAATACAGTATGTGTTTTTTAATCCGGCGTGTAGAACCATTATTTTTGTTTCTTAACTAAGTGGAAAAATTCATAAAGTGAAACCGATAGTGTTAATGTTTCACTAAGCGATACGTATAACGACTACAACTGTAAAAACCTCACTTTCCTCGAAATTTTATTTTGTCCATCGTTTTTGCCATTTTGAGGATGAAACAAGGAAGTTGAGAGGCATAGGGTGAGGGATGTTCTAGTAGATGGGGAGGGTGAGTTTCGTTGTTTTGATTCCCGGAAGGACCCCGGAAGCAAGTCGTTTTTCAAAGCTTTATTATTTGTAATAATAACAAGAAGAAGAAAGTTCTTTCTACAGATGGCCTATGTCACATAATGTGGTTTTCAATAGTGCACTGCATAAACACTAAAAACTACAGTACTAGAAATATTAAAATAGATGAACTAAGAAATGTCACACTAAGCGAACTTATTAAGATTTGAAATGTTTAAGTAATGAAATTTTAAAACAAAAACTAAAAACTACAGTACTGAAAATATTAAAATAGATGAACTAAAGAAATGTCACACCAAGCGAACTTATTAAGATTTAAAATGTTCAAGATTCTTTAATTTGGTAACGTTCTCCAATGGATCATTGTTGGCTATAAGAGCTATGACATTAAATTGACTTAGTTTGTTACGTCCTCCAATGACCATAAACTTCGACTTAGTAACGTTTAGTGTCAGCTTATCGTCATGTAACCAAGATGTAATAGCTGCCAAGTCTGCATTGAGCTTTGATTGCAAATTGGTTGGCGAGCTCTCATGATAATTAAATGCCATGTCATCAGCAAACATCGTCATCTTTGAGTGCTGCAGTTCAGATTGAATGCCATTAGTATACACCAAGAATAGCAATGGACCCAAAATGCTGCCCCGTGGTGTTCTCCCTAGGGAGACAATGCATTAACACACATCGTTTGTTCAACTCGACGAGAGAGATATGAGCGGAACCATTCCAAGCTTTTCCCTGCTACTCCTAGTGACTTGAGTTTGTTGATGAGGAGCAGATGATCAACAGTGTCAAACGCCTTGCGAAGGTTCAGGAAAGTTGCAAGCATTAACATTAGGGTTGCTTACCATTTTTGTGGGGAAACCAAAAGTATATTCCATTCCGTTGGAAAGCTTCATAAAATATAAGGTTTCTCCCCACAATATACCCACACAAAATCAAAGTCAAGGGGTGGTCACTGATACAACGCCTAGTGGTTTTATTGCTCGCTAGTCGCCACAGAGGGGTCTTTCCGTTTTTCGTTCATACGATTTGTGCAAAAGAAGGCAAAATCTTCTCCTTAGTTATTCCAAGACTTTGAGTGTTGACCCTCTTGGGAACTGAATGGGGTCTTGGGCTCTTAACTCTGCCGATCGACCATTTAAACTATACAGCTTTCAGTACTAGATAAGTGATATTGGAGGAAACGTATGTCTAAAATACTTATCTTTCGGTTGTATAGGAGAGCTGTTTCGTATTATTTATGGAATTGAGAGACCTGGAGATGATCTGACGCGAGATTACACGAGTGCTGCAAAAGCAATAGAAGGTGGGGTCGGTGCTCACAGGCTCAAAAAAAAGCCCATTGCTGACCAAATGCATGTGATACTGTGGGTGATTAAAGCTAACGATGTTAGATTTGAAACTGGAAAGTACCAGGAGATAATCAAGTTTGCTCAACACCAGATGAAAGAACAAAGTGAGTCCTTAATATTTCTTAAATTGAGGCACGTGTCCCATACCAATTGACTAAAAAGATTTTCGCCCAATGATCCCCCGCGAATATCGAAAAATCCCGATCAAGAACACTATATGTTTTTCAGAAAGGGCTATACAGAGGACCGTAGCCTGTTGCAGGTGTTAAGATTGTGGGGACAGCGCAAGGAGGCGTGAGCAGGAAAAACAGCGAGGGGTGGGGTAGGGAGCAAGGGCGCAGTTTCTTACTCTCTTCAATCGTCTCTCGGGCTTCTTATTTTTTTCTCGCTCTTTGACTCAGCGCCACACTCCATTATCTGACCGCCTGAAACAGGCTGAAGGACCGAGACTCCTTCATCTTTGAAGACCCAGTGGCAGATAGAGGGATAAGTAAATTGGCGCGGTTCCAGTAGCACTCAATGCAAAATGCATTTCACTCTATTAAGGCGAAGTGTAGAAAAAAAGTCATCTTTCGACAAAACGGATCACGAAAAGGGTACTAAATGATTCCGTGGAGGTGGAGTAGGTATTTCTCTTACGAATGGCTGACAGAGGAATGACGGCTTAAAACTCGTCAGCTGACTCAATAACACCACATTTTCCGTGTGTTCTAGTACTCTCCGGCTCTCCGTGGTACATGCCACATAGTTTGAACCTTCGAAAAGAGATAAATTGACGGTGGGAATTAGCGTGCGCGAAACATGGAGGAAGCCTTCCTGTCGCGCCTTAATTCATCCTTTCCCTTCCCGCAAAACGGCTGCCACGCAAGCTACATGTCAGCCTAATGTCTAGTTTGGTTTTTGCTTTGTTTTTCTGTTTCTTTTATTATAGTTATCACGATCATTACGGTCATCACTTTTGACGATGAAATACAGAGTATGCCAAACCCTGGCGAACGAAGAAAAAAGTTAAAGGAAGCAGCGAGAGAAGTTACTGGAAGTGAGCCGAGAGATGTCTTTATGATCGCGAACTCTATACCTAATCAAGAGTTTGACCCGGCGTACAAGAAGGAAGTGTTGAAGATGTTAGAGCGAGCTTTGAAGTGTGGAGAGCTGTCGGTCAAGATGCGGCAGGCGCAGAGGGAAAGTTTGAAGAGATCCATGTGCGAGCCTCGAGGCAGAGCTGAAAAATGCCCTGTAGAAAATACGGAGCCTCCTGACTACAAGAGCTTGCCATGATTAACGTAAATTTTAGGTACACTTCAGTGACGGATCTAAGGGAGGGGCCCGGGGGCCCGTCCCCCCTTATTTTTAGACCAAACTGAGGCCCGAAGGGAGGCTGCCACCCCCTTATCTCAGGATCTGGATGGCCGCCCCCCCTTATCTGAAGGTCCTTGACTTTTCCATTGGATGCTATGTTTGTTTACTTATCTAGGTATTCGAATTACTGGTTCCTTTGACGAGGGTTGAAAGTCCTGTATCATACATTCCGGCTAAGAGATAGAAGATGAGCTGAATAAGTTGTGAGAAAAAGCTCTAGGCAATCGATAAATGAAGGAGTTACTTTCTAAGGGAGCAGTGCTTGTTGTTGCTCCGGTAAGGGGGAGTGAAAATAAAAAAAGAACATTTGGTTTAATCAAGTAAATTGCTCATACCTTCCTATGGGGGCCAATCTACCCTATCAACTTAACTGATAAACTGGGAAAAAACATCTCCTGAACACATTAGAGATAGTCCCTAGATTATGGCTTCTTGGTAGCTTGGTCTCTAATTCCTTGAAGATTCTAACGTCGGGGTGAGGTTCGAAAAAATATACGAGTCCAGGCGCCCACCAATTTCGATATATTACAATTCACGCTTCTTAGACGACATGTCTGTGTCCTTGAGACTCGCTATCATGCCGAATTTTAATATATCAAAAGTGGCCTGTGGCCCCTGGCGATGAAGAGAAGACTAAGGTCGATCAGCGAGTCTGTTTTGTCAAAGGCTAGCGACATTCCAACAGTGAGCATTATGTGCAACCTGCCTTCATGGCTTAGTACTTATATTTTCTCAGGGTCCGAAAAATCTTAGGTATCTAAACCCTCTTTTTAATTCTACTACTTTTCAGTTGTTTTCTGTCTTCTATCAAGACCGCGTATTTTAGTGCGAGATATGCTGCATGGCCCGAAGATTTAACGTTATAAATATTTTCCAAGTGAACTTTTGTTTTCGGGCACGATTAACGTAACGGTAGTAAGGATAGGTGTGATTGCGGGTGTAGCTAGGGCTGCAGTTCAGTCTCGTCTGCAAATTTGTTTACACTGTAACAATAAACCAACTTCAAATAGTGTAGGTTAAACTGACTATGTCGAGTGTCGGATGAAAAACAGAATTTCCTGTTTAAGCCGGCTGGAAAGCGGGAAGTGGGCCTCCTCACACCGGAAAATAGTAGAAGGTGGGGATAAGACACAATTTCATTTAAAAAAAAATACAAAAAAGAAAAGTTTTACAACGTAATTCAATTATATAGAAGTGCATAAGCAATTTTAATTTTTTTCTTCTTCATAATGGCTAGAACAGAATAAAAATTAAGTTGTTAGCTATGCTTGCGTTTTATTGTGTTGAATTGGTTGTACCAGTGTACTGTCAATCATTTAAAAAAAACCCAAGATTTCCAAAGCGTTTAGTCCACTGAGCAAACTAAGTGTTAAGTCTTATTCAGTTAATTAAGAAAAGTAAGGAGGTTATTCATTGCTGGTTGAAACTGCCTGACACCAAGGTTGTCATAGCAACCTATAACATGACCAATTCGCGTCCACTTCCGGTTCAGTGATGTTCTTGAAAAAAGAATTAGTTGGAGATACACCGAAACAGATGAATCGAACCCACGCTGGGCCCGGCAACAGAATCTTGTTTTGAACTAAGGCTTTACTTTATAGAAACACTTTTAAAAAATTTTCTGTGTACCTCGTAAGAGCCATACTGTAAAGGTGTACGGAAGATTGCCAGGGGTAAATAAAAAAAATCTTCAGCTTTCGGTTTATTGAGAAACGTGGATCGGAATAATCATGTCAGGATAAAGTCTGAAAGAACGCCCTTTGTGTCCTGGTGACGTTTTCACTGTCATCTTGGTCGTGGTTGCTTGAGCTACATAACAAAGAAATATTTGTAGTGGATGCGCGCACATTCGCGGATGGCGCCTTAACATTTCCGGGAAATGCCCAATTAAATGACCACAGTCAGCTTGCAGCTATCAGGCGATCCGACCTGTCGTACCAGCAGAAAAGGTTTTATTTTTTTAACTGTGACAACATTTATAGTTTAGAGACAGTTGAGAAGCTTTTGCTTGAGGCAGGCGACAAATATGGCTTCAAAATCTCGGTTGGTCGTTTTTGTTTTGGCCTGCAACGAATGGCTGAGGTGTGCGAAAGGACATTACCTCACCTGGTAATGGATTATGCTATCTTTGTTGTTCATGCAGATGAATCTCGTCTTTCGATCAACGAAGACACCGCTGGGATTGGTTACCAGAGGCTTTACCGTGCTCTGCTTCAAAAAACAGGTGGGTTTTAATGTAGCTCGCATTGACTTCCATTGTTTCTGCGGCTAAACTTCAGAACAGTAGCATTGTATATATCTCATAAATTCAACGCAGACCCCATTTAATACCCGTCAGTAAAGGCTCTTTCAAAAATTAACGCATAGATAATGGTGATTTGAAAACAGAAAATCATTTGTACGTTTTATAGAGCCACGTATGCATAAGGCACGGCGGAAGTGCTACAACAATTTTCGATATCTAACTTCTAGGTCATGTGACGGAGTGCCACGTAAAGAAATGATGGTCTGGCGCGACATTAGAAAACCGGGAGCATATCTTGGAGAGATTTCGCAATAGTGTCCGATGTTTTTCATAAGATATTTAGGTGACAAGAGCGGAAGCATTTCTTGGAAAGCCTCGCCCATGGCAGGTGACCACTGAAACCGGAAGCGTTTCTCAGAATGGCGGAAGTGTTACAACACTTTCGATACCGAAAGTCGAAGCCACGTGACAGACTGCCACATGTTTTTCATAACATATTAGGTGACAAAGGCGGAAGTATTTCTTGGAAATACCTCAGGCATGGAAGGTGACCACTGAAACCACAAGCGCTTCTCAGAAAGGCGGAAGTGTTACAACACTTTCGATACCGAAAGTCCAGGCNGGGGGGGGGGGGGGGGGGGATCCACTTGTCGGTAGTCGGTTTAAACTTTCGATCTTTGTCGGTGGTCAGTTAAACTATTTGACTTAAATCACAGGGTCCAGAGGAGATGTGTTTGTCGTTAGAACATCAAAACCAGTCGAAAACCTCTGAAAAAATCGGTTATTTTGATCGCGTAACAGTTTCGTTACACATTCTATAGACCGCAAACCAAGAGACTGAGGGCTCGCAAGATCGGCTTACAGTATAAAATACGGAAAGGGAGGAAACAAATTTGGGGCCGATTTTCGAATCCCTGAAACTCAAATGGAATTGAATGAAATCGCCTGATTTTACTAAGCTGATCTAGAATTCTTATGTATTTGCCACATACTGTAGGAAAACGGCGTAAGAAAGCGTTCAAATTCATTTTCGGCGACCGAAATTCACTTCCGTCACCGAGTGATGCGGTTCACAGCGAAGGAAGTCACGTGGTACAAGTTTCCTCCCTTGTCCTTTCTTTTACTCGTTTACAGTAGATTTATAAAGATCCCATTGGGCTAATTAATCGTGCTAAGCGACAGGTATAGACATTTTTCAAGGTGAAACTTTAAATAAGTAATTCATTTATTTACACGAAACTCCTCTGGACCCTGTGCTTAAATCAGTTGTCGTAAAATCTCAGTTAATGAGTAAAAACGCTTGTTAATTATTAATATTTTTTATGTCTTTCACCCAGTTTCAAGACTTTGATCCTAAGGAAAGAGTAAAACTTGTAAGAATGCATCATTTGATTGCACTTAAACTTAATTAACTCTTGTTTGTTTATGCAACACGATCGTTTATTTCACCATTGTTTGCTAAATGAAGACTAGTAGTACTGATAAAATCACCAAATGCGAACTTGGTTTCCCTGTCGACTGCAGGGCACAGTAAAAAGTAATTAATTAATTAATGAACTCTAGCCTTTTGGATACTTAAATTATTTTAAACGAAAAACTGCGAGGGGTGAAAGGCTGCACATCTATACCTTTAATGTTTTGGCTCTAACAAGCATGACCTTTGCCATAATTTTCCTTTGGCAAAGAAATAGCACTTTAGATGATTTTTTAAAAATTTGGCAAGGTACTGGTTGGTTTTGTATGAGATTCCACTTTTTCATTAAAGCTTCTCAGATACTAAGGGCTGGTATTGTGTCACGAAAGGCAATGTTTCTTTTTCTTCCTTGTTGTTTGTTTCAGGAGCCTGATAGCTGCCTTCCTTTCTGTGAGTTTTGCCTCTAATAGTAATTTTTTTTCAAAATTGTGTGGCTAGCCTCTGTCCATCAACACGCTTTGAATACTCTGAAAACTTCCTTCGAGTTTGTTCGTAGGATTCTCAAGGCTTCTCATTTGTCAAATCTATTTTAACAATTGGTGGGTCAGGTGGGTGATAAGAGGTCAAATTGTGTATACTGGAAGGTTTCCGTTAAAAATGTCGTCTTTACGTCAAGGATAGCTTTTTCTCACTTTTCGTTTAATGTTGTGCCTTGGTATACAACCGTGTCTAAAAAGATTGTCTCATTGTCAGATATTTCGGCCTTGAATTTCATAGTAGGGTGATGTAAGTTTACTTGTTCCGCGAAGAAAGCTACGATGTCTGGTTTACTTGTGTCCCATAGAGAAAAAATGTGATCTATGTAGCGTTTTCTATGTAGTTGGTCAGTTAAAGACGGTTTTGCTTAAACTCTGTGTTTCACTGATATATGCCATGAAATGTTGGAAAGGAAACCGCGGCTGTCTTTGTGCTTATCGCGGTACCGTGGGTTTGTACTGATACTGCTTTCCATAAACTGGAAAGAATTTTCTTTGAGGATTAATCTCAGCGTTTCTCGGACCGAAACAAGAAACGTTCGGTTTTTTCATCTTTGTCTTTTCAATAAAGTTTATAAAGTCGGTAGCGTCTTCAGTTAAGGTGTGACTTCAGTGATTTTGATATTGGTTGTAGCAATGTACCTGTATCAACAAAAGAGGAATTTCTTTCCGTTAGACCATCTGATGATTGAGTCATGAATTTAAAGAGGTTACTTCCTAACGGCTAGAAAAAAAAAAATAGCAACATGCTCTTTTTTCTGAAAACAAATATTGATAATGTCAGCCCATGTCGGTAGTCGGTCAATATTTTTTCCTGTCGGTAGTCGGTAATTTTTCACTCGTGTTGTCGGTAGTCAGTAATATTTTTCGCCCTTTGTCGTTAGTCGGTTAACCCCATTCACACCCTCATTATATGAAAGTAGGTCATCGCAGTTATAGACGCAACTTTTGCAGTTCCGTCTATAACTGCAATGATCTTCCTTCATATAATTCTTCATTCCGCAGTTTACAAATATGATTTTCATATATTCATAACTTCATCATTATCCTTTCACGGGTTTATACCGAACCAATTCAACGAACTGCTCCCAGTTGTCTCGTTAGCTTAATTGGTAGAGCGCTGCACCGGTATTGCAGAGGTCAAAGTTTCGAATCCCGTACAAGCCTGAATTTTTTCCAGGCTTTCTTTTCGCAACTGCAAAAGTTGCGTCTATAACTGCGATGATCGTCCTTCATATAAAACTCTGTAGACTTTTTTATATAATTTTTGCTTGGCATGTGCTGCTGGCCTCTCAGAGCCCATACCTCATTATAGTCTATTCTGTGGCCAATTTAATAGACCCTATCTTAGTCACTTAGATGAGACCCAATCCAGCGGCTCACCCCCATTAGCCTCTTATAAGAAAGTACGGGCTTTTCCACCTTTTAAAACTGCCCGCACTTAGTAGAAACCAAACAAAAGACGTTTTCTAAAATTTTAGGTGTGCAAAAGATAATTATGTTGTGCTTTTATGGTGGACTACAGACTCACAGAAAACACAAAATGGAAGTCTAATTGTTAAATAGAATTCAAATAACAAGTACCATAAAAATCTGAAGCTGTTTATTCATCATAATTCAAAGTTGTTGAGTCTCCTTGTCTATCCTTTTCTAGGACTTTTAAGATGCTTACCGTAGATCCTTCAACAACTCGGAATCACAAAAAAGTGAGTTGACATATGATTTGGAGAAAGGCACTTATGAAGGTGAAATACTCTCTCTTTGGGTGTTTGGAAAAACATAGTTAAACTTATATACTACTATTAACATAGAAGTACACCTTTTCTTAGGATATCCTCCTGGTTATCTAGCCTTCATCTCTCACTTATGAACCACCCATACAAAAAACCGTATTATAGTTATAGTGTTAAAAGTGTAGGTTTTTTGTTGATCGTTGTATCTAATTACTGTATTTATTCGATTAACCGCCTTGGGCGCTTATTAAATTTTTGGACCTTGAGAGTGGGCGCTTATTCGAGGTGGGCGCTTATTCGAGGCTGGGCGCTTACTAAATTTTCACCATTTTCAGCAAGTGAAGTATGTTTATTTTGCAACAAAACAATAAATGCTAATATTAAACAAAACGCGAAGAAGTAACAAAGCAAGGTTTCTGTAAAATACTCTGAAGAAAACTCCGTCCTCGCGGAAGTCTCTTATTGAATTTATTCACTCAAGTGGGTGGGGTGGGGGTGAGCGCTTATTTGAGTTTGATTGGGAGGAGGAGGGGTGGGCGCTGATTCGAGGCTGGGCGATTATTAAATTTTTCTGTCTTTAGGATGGGCGCTTATTCGAGGTGGGCGCTAATTCGAATAAATACGGTACGCGGATGTTTAAAGTTAACGAATCGTAATCTGATATGAAGTGGATGTTGATAGAACAAATATGCTCTGAAACCTTCCTTCGTGCATCATATTGTGATGAAATAGACCATTCTTTGCGCAAAAAATGTTCTTATCTCAAATTGTCAATGGCCAGGTAGTTGTCATCTCTATGATATCATTTCCTTTCTTTCCTTTCACTTGTTCGGCTCCAACGCAGGCGTATTTTAGCTTTTCAGGCCAACCTCGTTTCCAGGGTTCTCTCTCTTGCCTCGAAAAAGAAGGCTGGAGAGAGAACCACATGGATTGTCGTCAGGCGTCCCCGTCCCCCTCCCCTTCGTTGCAGGGAACTCGTCGTCTTCAGCCCCTGGCAAAATAGGTCTCCGAAGACCTAAACCGGAAAAAAATTCGCAACAAATTGCGTTACTTCCGATTCCCTACAAATCTTCAAATGTTGGGATTTTGATTTGCATAGAGAGTGGCGTACGGTCGTACTTTCTTTACTCCGCGATAATTGCTTTAATTTCTTAGTGAATCTTGTTTTCCACTCAATTTTTGTTATTGCTATTTGCCATTTAGGACTCTAACTAAATTAACTATGCCTGAAACTCGTACCACGAAGGCTGCTAGCACTCAAGGAGCTGATTCCGCGGGATCTGAACTTGTCACAATGGCGACACTGAGGGAGTTGTTGAAAGTGCAAGATAGAATGTTTAAGAATTTATTCGACTCATTGTTGGCCAAAGTAAACGCACGGCTAGATTCCGTCATCGGCCAAGTCGCAGAAATCAAAGCTAGACTAGATATTTACGAGAAAGACACCAGCGACTTGAAGGTGAACTTTGAGTTCTCTCAGAAAGATATCAAGGACTTGAAACCATGCTCATCCCGATTGCATGAGGTCGAAGAAGAGATTGAAAAGATGTGCGGTTCCCTCGATTACCACACTGTTAAGATCGAATATCTGGAGAACCAAAGTAGAAGGAGTAATATTCGAATAGACGGCATTCGAGAGCAAGAAGCAGAAACCTGGGACAACACCGAAACCAAAGTAAAGGAGATACTCAAAGAGAAGCTTAACCTCGATGAAGAACCGGATATCGAGCGGGCTCATCGAGTCGGCAGAAGAGCAAATGCTACAACTGGCTCCGTAAGACGTCCAAGGACCATCGTTTGTCGCCTCCGCGATTGGAAGCAACAAGAACAGATCATCAGAAGTGCAAGTAGAATCAAACCCCCTGGAATTTTTGTTAATGACGACCTGGCACAAGAAACCCTTGACAAGAGGGAAGAGCAGCGTCCTAAGTTTGAAGAAGCGAGAAGAAACGGGAAAATAGCCTATTTCATTTTTCGTCAAAAGACAGAATTGAGCGTCCCAGTTAACTAGCTGTGTACTTTTGTGCTTTAGCTTTCTATAATATTTATAGTACGTATTTATATATCTATTATTTATTAGCCATTGCTTCGATTCCTGATCACACTTTACCTTTTAATGCTTTAGACGATTATAGTTTTAACCTTGCAATTTACGAACTTCAACATGCCAGGTACGTTATAATCCTGAAAGACTTTCCAGCCTAAATTACGATCCTTTATTTTCAAGTCACAATCTTTCCCTAACTCGTTCTGACGATATAGATCCTGATGTTAATCTCTGCACAGACGACGTCCACTGTGATTACTACATTGAAGACAAATTTAACGAAATGTTGAGAAATGATAATTTATGTGATGAAGATTTTTCGCTCCTACACCTAAATATTCGTAGTCTTCAACGTAATCTAAACAGCCTTTCTATTCTTTTGACATGCTTGAATATTAAGTTCTCTTTAATTGGCGTTTCTGAGACTTGGCTAAACGATTATTCCCATTCAGTTGACATAGATGGTTTCAATTTTATCCACAAATATCGAACTGGTGGTGGTGTTGGATTATATATTTCTGACAATCTCGATTTTAAAATTCGCGCTGACTTGAGTTTTGACGATATTGATGTTGCAGAATCTTTGTTTATTGAAATATCAAGACCCCATGGGAAAAATATTATCGGTGGCGTTATTTACAGGCCACCTAATCAGAGAGTTGGTGACTTTGTGTCAAAACACACTGATCTGTTAGCGAAACTCTCTAGAGAGAACAAAATGTGTTTTATTATGGGTGATTTCAATTTGAATTTAATTAACTTTCAACATCGTCAAAACACTGGCGAATTCCTTGATGGCTTGCACTCGTATATGTTTTTTCCCAAGATAACACGTCCCACCCGAATAACTTCTCACACCGCAACATTGCTAGATAACATTTTCGGAAACACATTTTTTGATCACTCTAGAAGTGGTTTATTGATTACCGATATTTCTGATCACTTACCTGTTTTTTCGATTCATTCAAATAATGACTCTTCCAACAGCCACGCTCATGACTCAGTGGTCATTCGAGACAATAATAAAGAAAACTTGGCGAGTTTTCTCTAAACGCTAGAAGAAATTACCTGGTCCTCCCTTGATGGTTATCATGACCCCAAAAACGCGTATAATAGCTTTATAAAGAAGTATTCTGAAAGTTATAATGTGTGCTTCCCTGTAAAAAAATTAACTAGAAAACAGTCCCGTTTAAATAAGCCGTGGCTATTCAATGCGCTTATTAAGTGTATTAAGAAGAAAAATAGGCTTTATAAAAAATATCTGCGAAATCCAACAATGGATCGTCAATCAATTTACAAAAGTTATAAAAACAAATTAAATCATTCTCTGCGGACAGCAAAACGTCTATACTACGAGAAGAAATTGAATAACGTTCAATCTAATACTCGTGCTACTTGGAAAGTTTTAAATGAAATTCTAAACAGAAGCAAAAGAAATTCCAATAGATGCTCAACATTTAAAGCTGATGATCGTGAAATTACTGATCCTGTCGAAATTGCCAACAAGTTTTGTAGTTATTTTTCAAGCATCGGTCCTAATTTAGCAAGGGGTATACAGTCGTCAGCTTCACGCCGTAGTTTTCTTAATGGTTCCTTTACACAGTCAATATTCTTCAACCCTACAACTCAAGATGAGATCGCTGAGATTGCGAAAACTTTTCTTCCAGCAAAGCAGCTGGCTACGACCAGATTCCAATGGCAGTCATTAAGGAGTCCATTCTACTTGTTTCTGAACCACTCACCCATATCATAAACTTGTCAATCCAGCATGGTATTGTTCCCGATGAAATGAAAATCGCTCGCGTGATACCTATTTTTAAATCTGATGATCAGTCGCTTTTCACCAACTACCGACCTATCTCGGTGCCTCCCTGCTTTTCAAAATTCTTTGAAAGAGTTATCTACAATCGTTTAATGCAATATCTGATGAATTTCACCATCCTCTCTAGTAACCAATACGGCTTCAGGAAAAATCATTCCACTGCACTCGCGCTAATCGACTTGCATGATAAGATCTCCACGGCCTTTGACCGAGGTGAATTTTCCGTAGGTATTTTTCTTGACCTCTCAAAAGCCTTTGACACTGTGAATCATATCATCGTTTTTGACAAACTCGAACATTACGGTATTCGTGGCTTAGCGCTGGACTGGATAAGAAGTTACTTTTCAAACAGAAAGCAATATGTTTAATATAATGGCCACCGTTCGTTAAGAAATGAAATCTCTTGTGGGGTCCCTCAGGGTTCTATCCTCGGACCTCTATTTTTCTTACTGTACATTAACGACATCAACAATGCTTCTAATCTATTAAATCTGATATTTTTGCTGACGATACCAATGTATTCATGTCACATAAAGATATGAACTATCTCTCAGATATGTTAAACTTGGAGATGGACAAACTGTCAATCTGGTTTCAAGCAAACAAGCTTTCTCTAAATCTTGCAAAGACTAAATTTATGGTCTTTAAACCAAGACAAAAGCGTTCAATTTGTAATATTCAAATAAGTATAGATAATCAAAATATTGTTGAAGTAAAGGAGACAAATTTTCTAGGCGTAATTTTGGATGAAAACCTAAATTGGAAGTCGGAAATATCACACGTTGCAAGTAAAGTTGCGAAGTCAATCGGTATAATATCTACAATCCTCGTCAAAAATCTTGAAACACTTGTGTGCGTTTTCCCTTCCCCAATGTTGATTTGGGCATTACAGCGGTCTCAGTGCTTCAAAATACGTGGGGCTCAACATTGGGGAGGGAGACATCATAAACTGTGTGATTCTTTCATATTCTAGCTTTATATATGGGTGGTAGTGGAGTACCATCTGTTTACCTAGTAGGGGCCGTGTTATTGGAGACATACGTGCGTTATAAAAGTATTTCATTTAACACTGAAAACATCTTCCAGGAGGAAGGAGGATGGCGACCAACAGTGAAACAGGTGTCAGACCTTATGAGCGGCTTCAAGTCCATACCTTTGGCTAAAGTAACTTTCGTCAGTACTGGTAACGGAAGGGTTTCTTATTCGGTTGTCAAGGTGACAACTGACGATTGGTTGGAGCGCTGGTCGTCAACTTCCGGTAGATTTCGACCGTTTTTCCTGGCTCAAGAGAAACTATAAGGTCTGTACTGTGGCGTGCGTTTTAAGCCTGGTTGTCTTGCGCAGGTATCTGTGGAGTAGTAACGATTAGTTTAGGCGCGGTTAATTGTTTACCAGTTACGAAAAGATTCCGGTTGGTTGGAAAGTGAATGGAATTTATAAGGCGCGATTACCAACCGCTGTTGGGGATATGAGCCTGCACTCCTCCCCTGAGCGTGTTCGATAGAACATGCGTGCGATTTTTTATGTTATTCCAGTGGAAAGTTTCCGGGAACAACAGAACGTCTGACAAGGTAGCCCTGTTTTTCCCGGCGAAATGTTCCAAGTGGAAACTTTGATACCATTTTCAGGCTAGCGCGGCCGTTAACTGATTTGTGCACTAAGGTAAACACCGCCAGTGATCGCCATTTTTTTTCATGTAAATGGTAAACAACCGTTGACTGCAGACAAGTCGCTGAGACTGCAAGTAGAGATTACATGTAATATGGTAGCAACATGTTTGAAGAAAAAGACAACACTATTGTAGTCGATTTAGTTCTGTCTATCTTTCAAGATCAAGCTTTCTGGTCGCGTTGATTAAAATTTTAATAAACACGTTTGAATCCTTATTGTTTGCTGTATACAGACTTATTTATTTGTAGAAATTTTTGTTTTTCTCCCCGACCTTCATTAACTTGAATATAAATCTGTTCACTTAATACCATTTCCTACATTGGCGCCTTTGGCAAAATATCAATTTTGTGACCCCTTGCGTGACCACTAACAAGTTCGCCGAGTGCGCATTCCCGGATGTCGTCCCAAATTCGGCGCAATTCCCCAACAGCGACAAGTACTGAAGTGAAAACGACATGGCGAATCCGTTAAAATTTTTCCTTTTTAATTGTGACAACACATATAACTTAGAAGTAGTGGAGAAGTTTTTGCTTGACCTTGACGAGAAATATGGTTTCAAAATATCGGTTGATCGTCTCACTTTTGGGTTACCGCTAATGGCTGAGGTGTGCGAAAAGACTTTACCCAAGCTGGCGATGGACGTCGCTGTTTTTGTTGTTCATGCACATGAATCTCGTCTCTTCATCAACGAAGACAACGCTGGTATTGGTTACGCGAGAATCTACCGAGCTTTGCTTCAGAAAACAGGTGAGTTTCTGAATGTTGTCCCTTTAGTTTGTCTGAGTCTGTTAACGCCGTTGTTTTAAACTAACAACACATATAGTTCGCAAATTTCATGCTGTGGATCTCAAGTAGTAAAACTTAAGACATGGAAATGCCCGCATTAAGAAATTTCCCAATAGCAAACGCATAAATATCAAACATAAATAACAACTAAACTTACTGAAGACACATATCTGACATATGCATACACAGGGAAGGCGGAAGTGGCACATGGCACCTTGTTTCTCTCTATATTAATCAGACATTGCAGCCTATTTTGCGTTTACACGGTTAAGGGTCTTATTGATTAAAAACTGTTTCAATCCGGTTTGTGTAAAAAAAGTCAGGAAAGAAAATGGCAAATCAATGAAGAAAACGTAATAAGCGAGTAAACTCCATGAAGTACTTTCGATTTTGATCGTCACGAGGTCGCGTGTCCTGGCATGTCACTCGAAAAAGGCAGAAGTATTTCTTAGAAGATTGTCACGCGATACCAGTTCTTAGAAGATCTTGCACAGTCATTGTCATTGTAGTGATCACCAAAACCGGAAGAATTTCTAGAAAGAAAAAACGTTGACATATACGAAGGATCAAGGTACGAAACAAAGCTAAACAAAGGTACCTGTTTCTAACGGATCTAGGCAGCAAAATGTTTGTACTAGTAAAAGAAGAAAATTTTATTTTCTTCCGGGAATGACTATCTCTACAAGAAAATTAGTTACATTTTAGAGGGCCAAGAAACAAAAGAATACTTTTACCTTGCAATATTTGAAGTGTAAGGAAATATGTCGTGTTGAATCATTCTCTAAATCCCTGACGAAATACTTGAATAACAGACTGAAGTATGCTATTACATTCTCACTTGTGGAATCCTTGATCTGGGAAATTTTTGCTCGTGGAATCCAGGACTCCTGGGCTTCGGAATCCGGAATCCAGCTAAAGATAGGATGCGAAATCCAAGTTCCACGGACAAAGAGTCTGGACTCCAGTACATGGATCCGGAATCCATGGCGTGGAATCCAAAATCCAAGACTGTCTTGGATTTCTTTTCATAGGGCGATTTAAATATAAAAAAAAGCAACCATTGCTGCTTTCTTTTCATTTGCCCCTCCCCTCTTTGTTTGTGCTTTTCCTCTCAATACTCCGGTCTAGTGGCTGTGATTTCAGCAGCTGCTTTTTCGAATGTCAAGTCTGAAAATGAATACACTGAACTTAACAATGGCATCTAAAGGTAAGGCGATGTAAATCTCTGATCGATAGATGGATGGTCGCCATGGATGAACAGATCGTCGGAGCTGGTAGATCGATGTAATTGTTGTTAAGCCTCGTTTTTTGTTACTCGACTTAGAACTATCAGTTTACATGAGAGTCCATTGTCACTCCTCTTCACAGGAGTGATGAAGCACTATCCACCGACCAGCCGCGCCTCCCTTACAGTGTATCAAAAAAACTGAAAACTGTTTGTATACACATTTCCGTGCCTATTTTTTTTCAGATAACAATGTGTTGATCGTAATAGGCGGAGACAGTTGCTACAAAAATGAAGACGAAGAAGCGCGGTGTGTCATCTCGCGCTGGGCAAAAAGGAAGATGGCTTTGCAGTTCGGTGAAGAGTATCTGGACGGAAGGCAAAGCTTTATCTTCTCTTGGGATGAAAGACACCGACCGATTCACGAGGAAGCAATGCGGCATTTTCTTGACCCCGAAAAGAGGGGATCCAAGTTTGAATACACACCTCCCAGACCCTTGCCGAAGCTCATACAGCCTGTGGAGCCTCGGCCAGGCAGTGCAGACACAGATCTGAGCAGAGAGGTACACTATACCCTCCCTCTTACCAATAACTCTCGGATTAATCCTTTCAACCCCAAAGCAGCCTAAATTAGGATTGATTCCACAGTCTCACCACCTAACACGACTTTATTCATTGCTGTGGTCGGTGAGAAAGGAGTATACAGCTATTTCTCGATAAAAGTTTACCAGAAAAAAATATGCACGCGACAATCCCAAAACGTTATATGGGATATGATCAATACACTGTTCCTGACACTGTAGCTGTCAAACCTACTTTTGTTGCTCTTCTTAGGCAAACGCAAACATATCTCCCTCCATGGCCTCTCGTGCCATTCTTTCAAATTTCTTTGGAGAAGAGTGATCTCAAAACCAGCCACAATACTACCTTTCGGGATTGTCGCTTGCACTTTTTCCGACAATCTTTCTCGAAATAACTGTATATTAGTCACGACCACTCTCTTTCCTTATTCACCTCTTTGTGGGCGGCCGACAAACAAATCACCATCTGTAACTACTCGTCTTCACGTCTTCAGTTCTTTGGTGTTACTTTTTTTCTAGCAAGCAAATACCTGCACTTTCAGCTCGATTTAAAATGGAAAGAAGTTAAATGGAAAGAAGGGAAAAGGCTCCTCAATCGCCAGGTCCAGAAGGACCAGGGGAATTAAAAGCTGGGGCAGTTGGTTTAGCCATATAAAAAAATAATTCTGGGATTGTTGCAATATTTCAACTTGGTGGGAGAAACTCTTGGATTGCATTTTCCTGGCTGGATTACCAGCCGTTGTTCGGGGTACACTGAAGAACTGACCCGAAATAAAGGCGACAGTGGCGCAAAAATTTTTTACTTGTTTTTTTTTTTTTTCTTCGTTCGAATTAGCTTAGGAAAAAAAAAAAAATTAATCTAGAAAAAAAAAACCATTAAATACTGCCTCGTTCCCCGGCGCGTTCTAGCAGATTCGAGAGCGAGGTGGACTTTAATGGGTTCGCGGGAGGTGTCATGGTCTTGTTTTTTTTTTTTACTTCGTTCGAATTAGCTTAGGAAAAAAAAGAAACTGACTCTAGAAAAAAACAACCATTAAATACTGCCTCGTACCCGGGCGCGTTCTAGCAGATTCGAGAGCGAGTTGGACTTTAATGGTTCCGCGGTAGGTGTCATGGGAAAGGCGAAGAGACAAACGCGCCTGGCAGATTACGATTTCAAAATGACGGAAAGTAATTTATGCAAAACTAGAGGGAAAGAAAATAATTATTTAGAGTGTTTTTCAGCGAAGAGAAAGTTTACCATCTCGTCCTGAAGGACAAAATCCCCTGTCCACCGATCGAGATTCCGGGGTGCTTTCCTCTCCCGTTTGATTCAGACGTTCTAGTCGCTGGAGCATCTAAAATTATTGAAGAGTTTTTTTTTAAGTACTAAGCTTAAAAATATTAATGATTCCAAAATTTAAATGCTTGATATGTACCGGGTTCACCTGTGTACCGACATCGAAATGCCTAATACGATCAACATTTCAGAGTAGGAAGTGCATCTTTCCATACAATGAGAAGCACTTACCCTGTAAAGAACGTTCATGTAAGGATTCCTCTATGCTCGTCATATTTACACGAGTAGAGGTCGAAGGTGCTCAAAAAGCGAGGGTGCTCGAAAACAACGAAAAAAACGTATTAAAATTCTTATAACATAGACCTCGACATTATTTCTCCTCAAAATAGCGCAAGGGGAACGGTCACAGCCCAAATCCAGAAATCGAACCAAATCTGCGAGGCGTCTCATATTTTTCCTTCATACTTCCCAGCGTCCTTTGCGTCCACGCTAAACGTTACCATGGTCCCATACGCGATACTCCTTGATGGCTAGTTCAGTCGCGTTTTCCGTTTTCCACAGTTGAGACGCCTAGGAAAGAGGCAGCATTAAATACCCAAAATCAACTGACAACATAGATGCACTGTGACTACCTCACTGCATATTTGTGGTTATCTGCAAACCTCTTCAAAATTAGGTCAACGGTAGCTATTTTGAATGAATAGTAAAGGTTGTCATCACATTAAACTTATCAGAGATCATAAGTAACGTTTCTTGACTCCTCTCATTGGTGGGAAACAGTTCTGTTTTTAGGTGTCATTTTACCTTGAAGTAACCAATGAAAACTCGCAATGTTGAGGAAAACTTTTTCAGTTATATAGAGCCTTTTTATTCACGTGGCCAGCAGGTATAAATGGCCGCCGTTTCATTGTTTTAGAACACTAATAATGCGGACGTGAAGTCATGTGTAACTATGAACAAAAGGTCTTGATTTCGTGAATGGGTGACACAACTAATCCTTTTTCAGAGTATCTTGCCGGAAGCATCAGTCGACGAAAGGTGTTTGAAAAGGGTCTTGAGTTATGTTATTCATAAAACTATACCTAATGAAAACTGATTTTTTGACTCCTCGCTTAGTCGTCTTTGGTAGGAAGTGACAAGGCATTCCTTATCCCGGAGGACAAAGAAGAGGATACTGGTACCCGCAGAAGATCCTTCAGCGATCGGTATAAGACAAAAACGGGCTTGGAGGAAGGCACTTATGGAGGTAAAAAATACACTTTCTGTTTCAAGCATATCTGTATCCAACCAGGGAGTAGCGCTGTATCCATTTTTAGAATCCAACGTCATGCGTCACTGACACCAGCGTGAAATCTGTGAAAACGTAATGGCGTTGGTACATGAAAGTTCCTCTTAAACAACGAAAATAAGGTAGCAGATCCACATGGGGGTTCGGCTTCGTCTGCCATTCCTGGTCGAATTGGAATTTGAAAATATTGCTCTTTGAAGAGTGGGAAAGCGGTAGTACCCGGATGAAATCCTCTCGGAGCAAGGGATATAACCAACAGCAACCTCAACCCATGTATGCACATATGTTGTCGACACCGGTAAATGAACCCGAGTCACATTAGTGGGAGGCAAATCCTCACCACTTCGCCAAGCTTGCTCCTCTCCCTCGTTCCCGATTATTGGCTCTTGTATCCGCCTTATTTACTTCCTGACTCCATGGCTTGCTTTAGACTATTCTGTGAAAAATTACTCGGTGAATGAAAATGAAAAGTGATGCATTGAATGCGATGTATACACTATATAACCACACGTTACAGAGGTACAGGGGTCGGATGGCTATGCCATGCTGATGACTCGATCCTAACAAGGGCGAAGTAATTGTCCATGATTGCCACTGCTCGGTTGATATGTTTGCGCTCAAAGGTACTGGCAATACCGCCGGGTAACCTCAGGGCAGCGTAGTGTGACCACTATATTCAGATGGTTCGTCTAAAAGTGAAAAGTGGTTACGGCCAACTGAAAACAAATTGTAAAGCGAGTGAACCTTTGAAATTGCAGCTTTACGTTCTGGTGCAACAGCGGCCACTTACCAAGGAGACACTATTCTACTGAAAGCAAAAGTGCGTTATGGAAAGATTTCTTATGAAGATGGGGATGTCCTGCAGGGAAAGCCATGATGGCGACCTTAAGAGAAACAGAAGTCAGATGTGATGGAGGACCTGAAGTCTGATGCTGTCTGTATAGTGACGTTTTACCAAACTTTGGATGGGTTAGTTACTTATTCCTATTACAAGCCAAAACCTCTCGACCGAAGGGTCTTCTACTTATATTTCTTGATTTGGAGATGTATATATAGTCTCGTGTTTTGAGAGCCTTTTTCGGCTGTTTTGGTCGGTGCTCAGACAAATGTAGTGGCCGTTGACTTTAAGAAAATCAGCCTGTTAAATCGCTGCAAATTTTCTCACAAAAAGCATCAAGTAAAAGGATGATCTAATGATGTCAAGAACTGAAATAATATAAAGGTAACAATAAAATCATAAAAACTCTCAGGTGAAGTCAGAACTTACTGGGTAGAGAGAAGGGCCGCAGCCATAGGAACGAGAATGAACAGGGTAATGTAGTACTGCCTACCAGGTGGGCTCCTAACTAATTCACGGGTTAAGAAAGTAGTTTTAGACTGAGGGTCAGACTGAGGGTCACCTCTCCTTCTTGTAGAGCTACTTAGAAAGTTGTCAATAAAAATCAGTCTTTGGATAAACTTTGCACAGTCAAGTAGGTAGTGTTTCTGATTGGTTGAAGCAAAATTCCCTCGCGGTTCGAAAAGTCGACTCTGCAACCAAGGAATCTGTTTTCATTTGAATCACAAAAGAATACCATCATAAATTAAACGAAAGGTTTGAGCCTTTCATACAAACCCTATGAATCGTTACCAAAAGAATATGTTATTGTAGCCTCTTATCCATGCCATGCCTCCTTTTCCACTTGCGACACAATCATATCCAACGAATCTTGGCGAATATCTTTTGGGTGTGTGAATGTATGTGTAAGAAGCTAACTGAGCCCTCAATGTGAGTTTGGCGTGGTTGGTCAGCTTGTGAATCACTTCAGGCCAAGCCTTCTTGCCCATGGACCCGTCACCGGAGCGAGCAACTTCCCTATACCCACCCGTGTCCTATAGATCAGTCAGTCAGGTATTTGTAACCTTTTGATGGCTTATAAATAAGTCTTCTTTCTCTTTTTGCACACATATGGTGTAGGCCTTCCATTTTCGCGAGAAACTGAACTCTTAAATGATATGCTAACAATAAATTGGTCTGTAGGCTTCAAACGCAGACGTATGTTTTTCAAGCGTCCAACCGGGAAGATATCTGCTTTCGTTGAGGTATTTTTAAATGGGCTCCTATGATAAAGTGAATACCGTAAACTGCCGGCCTATCGCTTATAAGCCTTGAGCTTATCCCCCTTGTCTACGCAATGGGTTTTAGGAGAGAAAAGCGCTTTGAAACAAGTTTTAGAACTGCTGAGCAAAATACGTTTTGCAATTACCGGTTTTAATTAAGCTCAAACGTCATAGTAACTAGAGTTCCATCTAGGCGGGGCTTGGCGGAACCAAGTAAGCAAAAACTGAGGGAGGGGCTTAGAGGTGAGGCAAAACATTTTTATGTAAGGAAAAAGGTTA